AAGGGGGGAGCAGACCTTGGTGCCTGTCCACACTCATTGGTCACTCCAGAGGCCCCCTCACAGGCTGGGGGACGCTTATCTCCCGAGAAGCAATGGCTACTTTGGCAAGGGTCAGCACAATGCCCTCCTTGCCTGCCGGCCTTATCAGCCTCTTGCTCCCTAACCTGATGGCTGTTTGGTCCAAAGAAATTGTCTGGACATGTATTGATACATGAACAGAGAGATAATGCTGCAAAATTCCACTGATGAAGCATCTTCAAGCTGAGGAGAGTGTAGACTCTGGCACACTAAGGAGCCTGGAGAGGAATCTGCATTTCCTGCCTTGGTTCACAGATGTGAACACAAGACTCTGGGCCTTTCTGACCCAGCCACTTCCAGTATATGTGGCTGCACCATGTGCAATATTTCACATAAAATGCTTTGTAGGTAGGGGTAGGGAAAGGCTGGGAGATCTGTAGTGTAATTCAGAGGAGAAACGAAATCCTGATTTTTTAAAAGTGCAGATTTTGCCGTTTGCTTCGGGACTTTGCCAGCCTCCTGCAAAGAATTAGGGACTCACTTTACAATTGCTGCCTGTAACAGCACTGGTAGTAAGGATTACTTTGGATATAGGAATAGAGAGTTTGTGAAATTCAGTACGGTGCTAGAAAAAAGTGTGTGAGTGGGAAAGCCCAGTCAGATTTATTTTTTGTAATCCTCAGACTGCATACCTTTTATTTCTAACTGTGTGATCTTACTGTTAATTGTCCCCTGCACTGTAAAATAGCCCACAGCATTCCAGTTAGTGCTGGCTGTGTTATGCTATGTGCTGGACATGCACAGGAACTGCTGGTTCCACAACAGATGGCTGGTACCATCAGGGCAAGAGCCCTGGATGGGTGAAGGATCAAACAAGCAAAACGAAGACCAGCACAGGTCTGTAATCACAGATAAGTGGGCAAAGTGTCAAAGAAATACCCTACTGGAGATGGTTGCTGCAGAACCTCTGGGAGTAAATATCCTGCCAGCACATAAAGCAGAGGTAAATCTCTTTGGCATACTGATAAACTACAGCAGCCTCAGACATCACCACTGAGAGCTGGCAGCTGTGCCCAGAGCACTGGCTGATACAGTCAGAGGGGTCAGACAGTGTTCTCTGCCCAAAGAGCCCTGCACACTTGTATGGAGAGGTTTGGTGTGTCTCAGCCAGAGATGTGCTGGCATGTGACAGCAGCACTACCCACTGCCACAGAGGGGGCTCCCCAGCCATGGTCATCGTGCTAAAGGGAAAGCCCTTCCAGGGATCTAATGATCCTCGGGTCGTACATGGATTGGGGCATGTCCAGCCTATGGATACCTGTAGCAAAGCACAGGTGTCACACTGGCCTTGGAGCCCCTCAGGGGTCACAGGGAGCTGTGCTGTGCTGCTGGAAAGGTGCTGGGTTTGAGGTTGCACCCATGTGTGTGTATGACAGGGGTCTCTTCTGTGCTGTCACATGGGGATGGGTCTCTCCTCTCTGGGTAAGCTCCACAGCCTGGAGGAGTTGATCCACACATTACAAAGAGACACCACGCTCCTGGGGCTGTGCCTCTGCCACTGCATGCTGGGCTCAGGTGTCAGAACCAGGGATAGGGTCAGACAGCAACTTCTGTATCCTCTGGTGTCCCCACTTTGCTGGGGTGAGTGGCACTTGCAGAAGGACTCTGACCCACCCCTTGTACTCTACCCTGGGCTCTAATTTAAGCTTCTCTGCATGCCATCTGTCACACAAATTAGAATAAACCTTGGGCTTTCCCAAAAGGCAGGCACAAAGTGCTTGGGGACTCTGAGTCTGCAAGATTGGCTGGGTTTGGGGATCTTGAATTATCATCCCCTCTGTGGAGGTCAACAACTCCTCTGGGATTTAATTTCAGATTGTGTTCAGTGCCACAGCTCCTCCGCAGTCCTCCTGACCATGAGCTGGGTAATTCACTCACTTTAAGAGGGGATATAAAAGCGGACTCATCTGAGACCTGAGGAGGACAATTGCTTTACCATAGGGAATATTATCAGAAGGCTCTTTGTATACCTTCCCTTTGATAGTGCCATACACATCATCTGAAAATCCAGAGCTCGCTCTGCCTACACAGATGCAGAGCAGTGCAGTTTTCAGCTCAAAGTGCCACTGACAGCATAAGCAGAGCCAGGCCACGGACAATGTGGTATCCAGTTTATACAATTTAAATGGATGGTAGTACCAAGAGAGGCTCTATTCATCATACCTTGCTACACACATTTCCAAAACTTGCAGTTTTCCAATTGAAAATTTACTTTGAAAACATAGATGCTGTTGTGAAATATCCATTTACATAATGGTTTTGTCTCCTCCCCAAAGTGCTGCCTCTTACCAGACGTGTTGCATGGCAGTGCTCCAAGCTCTCCTCAGTGAGAGTGCTTTTAATCAGGGGTTACTCAACCAAGCTGTGACCCAGATAAACACAGGGATAAGGCACATTCCGTCAGGACTCCTTCCTATTCTGTGTAACCTGGGCATTACTTCTCTGTGAGTGCAGGATTAAGGTTTGTGTGCACACAGAGTGAGGTCTGCACAGGAGGATTCATCATCACTGAAATCATTGTGGAATTTGAATTCCTTTTCTGTGAGTTACTCCTGCACTATCACAAAAGCCAGAGCAGCCAAAAGGTGACAGTGGTTTGCTAGAAGGAGTTCATTGCTCACTCAGGATCAGGGCTGTGCTGGAAATTGTTGTGGGAACTCCTCAAGAACAAGCCTGGTTGGAGAAGTCTGATCCTCAACACGTGACATGGCAAATGACTGTCTCTGGTTTTGCAGGAACCTCTCTGCTAAATTCCTCATTCCAGTGCTCCAGCTACCCGTGGGGTAGTGAGACAAGGGGGGTCTTGGCCTCAGGAGTGCAAAGAGCTGGACAACATAATTGCTGCTGCTGCTCCTATGTCACAGGGCCAGTAGTGAAGATGTCCTCTGGGGAACCCCACCAAACCTGCCTTCCTCTCCTGCTGCTGCTTCTCCTGATGACCCATAGCTCCACTGCAGAATGTCCACCCTTGGGCAGGTCGTGAACCTTTGTCAGGAAATCACCAAAGTGGATTTTTTTTTTAAATTAATGTAGGTCTTTTAAAATCCAAAATCTGTTCCAAAAGCTGACTACCAGAGTTTCTCATTTTAAACAGCAGAAGCAAGTAACAGACCTGTTAGCTAATTGTTAAAGTGGGATTCTAATTTCCAACAGCTGTGATTATAAATCCAATTGAATGCTATCACTGTGAGATCAGGGATAACTTTCCCCACGGGCCTGTATTATCCACAGGAATTGCCTTTCCCTCAAGGAGAATGTTGTGGATAAGAGGGCACATGCATCTGCTCTAACTCTGAAATATTTGAGGCATATTAAATATAGAAAGTCTGAAAAGTGGAGTCTAAATCCTGACTTTATTCTTTAATTTCCTACCAGGGCTTGAAGAACTTGCAATCATTGCTTTAAATGCCCAAGAGCTGGGAATGACAGATAGGCCTATAATTTATTATTTAAGAAAGTAAAATTATATTTTGAAGCAAACATACTGAAATTTTAACATGACAGCCCAGTGCTGGTGTACAAGGAGTGCTCTGCTGTGATAACAGGACTAGTCTTTAATCACCCCAGGACAACTCTCTCCCCATAGCATCGCCTTCTCTCTCTCAATTGTTATCGCTGGCCTTGTGCAGAGTGGCCCTGCAGATTACACCCTGCTGGGGCTGCTCATCCCCCTCTTCAGCCACCCAGCTCTGTCCTGTGTCCCTGGGACGACTGCAGACCAAAACCCAAAGTGGGGATATCTCTGAGTGTCCAAGCATCTAAGTAATGCAATGAAATACAGAATAATTTGCATAAAACCCCAGAGAATCCTCAGATATAATTGCTGATAATTTCTGATCTCGGTTAAACACAAAAAAATATGAAGGCACCAAGACTGCTGCCAGGGGAGTAACGTCACCCTTCCTAATCCAGAAACAGGAGCAAAAGCACAGGAATCATAAGGCAGGGTGTATCAGTGCTGTGAACACGAGCAACAAGCCCAAGCAAGTCTTTCCATGAGCACGGGGAGCCCACAGGTCTGACTTCCACAGCTGCTCCCCTGCAGGCACCCTGGTATCATGGAATCATTAAATTAGAAAAGCCCTCTGCAATCATTGAGTCCAACCATTAGACCAGCACTGTCAAGCCCACCACTAAAACACGTCCCAAAGTGCCACATCCACGTGTTTTTTGAATACTTCCAGGGACTGTGATTCCACCACTGCCCGGGGCAGTTCCAGTGCCTGTCCACTCTTTCCATGAGGATGACAACCCGAGGGGGTCTGGGCATGGGGGACATGATGAGCTTTCACTGCTCTTTGCTACCAGCTCTCAGGAAAGTTCTGCAGTTAGTGACTGAAGTGGCTGAAAGCCCACAAATGACCAAAGTGGCCAACTAACAGAATTGGGTGGTCCAGGACCCAGCAGCCCCTGTGGAGGGACCCAAGGCTGGGGCCACCAGGCTCTGTCTGGGTACGGGGCTGAACTGGGGGTGCTGGGCCGTGCTTGGGCTGAGCTGGAAGGAGCTGCTTGCAGGCATGTGAAGCACTGGAATAAAGTGGGAATGTGTGGAACAGAGAGAGGTGTCCATGGGACACTGGGATGACGGAGAGAAAGTAAGCATCAGGTGCTGGTCAGAACTGGGGGCACTGGGCTGTACTGGGAACGGGGCTGTGTGTGAAGGGGTGGTCAGAACTGGGGGCACTGGGCTGTACAGGGAACGGGCCACGGAGGTATGAGGTGCTGGTCAGCACAGGGGGCACTGGGCTGCACTGGGCACGGGCCGCGGGGTGGAGGGCAGGGCCGCACCGGGCACAGGCGGCGGGCAGAGGCGGCGGCCCGGCCGCGCTGTCCCCGCGGTGCCGGCGGCTCCGCCGTGTGCCGGCGGAAGCGGAAGGCGCCGCGTCCGGGCCCTTCCTGCGGGAAGCCCGAGCCGAGCCGGCATGGGCGAGAGCACCAGCCCCATCAGCGTGATCCTGGTGAGCTCGGGCAGCCGCGGCAACAAGCTGCTGTTCCGCTTCCCGTTCCAGCGCGGCGCCGAGCACCCCGCCGCGCAGGACAGTAAGTGCCGCGCCGGGAGCTGCGGCTGCCCCCGCCCGCAGCAGCCTCCGCCGAGGCCTGGCATCCTCCCGTGGGGGGCCGGTATCACTCCCCAGAACCCCCTTCATGTCCTTCACGCTGGCCATGGGGGCCTGGCACTCTTCACCCCTCACACTGTCCGTGGGTACCTGGCATCCCGCACCCCTCACACTGTCTGTGCACCCCTCGCTCACACTGGCCATGAGGACCTGGCACCCCCCACAACTCCCCATGGGCTCTGCACCTCCCAGCCCTGGCCCTGCATGTGCCCTCACTCCCCTCCAGGTGCCCTGGCACCCCTCCCATCCATCCATCCATCCATCCATCCATCCATCCATCCATCCATCCATGCATCCATCCATCCATGCATCCATCCATCCCACATCAATCGAACCATTAATACCTGGCATTGGGGCCAGGTATCATTATCCACCTCACTGCTGGCCCCGGGGCAGGTGAATCCCCTGGGGTTTGGGAGCTGCAGGGGAAGGAGGAGGCAGGATGAGAAGGAAGGCATTGATTTGGAAGAAGGGATTCAGTAAACACTATAAGCTTTAACCAAGAATAGGTAGAAATTACTAAACTTTAGTGTCTTGAATAGTGTGCTGGGGGAGGTTTATTTTCTCCTGGAAAACAGAACCATGGGACTCTTTAGGTTGCATCTCTTACTTTGAGGCGTGTGATTTGGGACAGTGCTTGTGGCTGGACTGGGACCGGTATCAGTGCAGGGCCTCAAGGTGCTGTGTGGTGATGAAGCTGTGTGATTTGGGCTGTGTGTCAGGAGAAGTTTGATTCCCCTGCTTAGGCTGTGAGTCAGTGAGGAGAGAATTATCTCTAATTCCCTGTCAGTTTTTATAGGTAAAATCTGAAAAGTTGTTGGTTTTTTTTCCCAACTGTTTCCCTGCTACTTCCCTCCTGCTTTTTGTTGGTGAAAGATTTCCCTTCCTGTGGCTGTGGGAGCATTATAATTGTCCCAAACCCAAGCAATAAGAAGGGAAATTGCATTGGTCAGAATTTTGCTTTTCACTCTTGAACTGCAGACTGTTACCTGTGTCAGTTTCTGTGAATGTTTCACTTTCTCCCCTTCATCCCCTGAAGGATAAAAATTTTCTCCTATTTTTTTTTACGTTCTTTTGAGTGAGAATGGAAAAACATACAAACACACATTAATCAGATTGTTCCTGGGTAAATTTATCTTTATTCTTTGCTTCAGACAAACCAAGGAGTCGATATGCTGTGAATGGCTCTGGTGACACCACAGAAGATCAAGATGGGGACTCGAGGTAGGAGGGAAAACATTTCTTCTGGTCTAAGAGGTTGAAATGGAGGAGAGGCAGCCTCCTGCTCTCTTGCCTCCTACTTCCTAGGCACATTTTCTTGGACTGTATAGAAGACAACTTGGCAAAAAAATGCTTTAATATCAAGTTATGAACAACTTAGTGCTTAGTAAAGAGGACTCTCTCACGAGGGAATATTGTTCTTTTCTGGGCAAGGTATAGGTCCTTGTCCACAGCTATTCTGTGCTCTTTAGAAAGGCAATATTATCCTTTCAAAACTAGGAGTATTAATCCTTTGGCAAAATCCCACTTTTCTTTATCTGCCTTCTTCTAACTGGATATATTTTTCAGTTGCCTCAACTTCTTCCCTAGCTCATGTAATGGTTGTATGGAATTGCTATGCACTATTGAATAACTAATTTTGTTTCTCCAGACAGAGCTGCTGTTGTGTCAGTGGACTGACAGTGGCTCAAAAGGAAACTGAGACTTGAAGAGAGTTTTTTAATTACAGGAAATCAGAGGGTAACAAATGCACTGAAAATAGGCACTGTGGTGTTCAGTATGTGTGGATGGACCCTCCAATTCGTTTTTGTTGAGCATTTGAAATCTGCTGCATAGTTCTAAATTTATCACTACTAGATATGAGATAAATCTGGGAGGGAAAAAGTTTTTTTTGTCTGTTGGCCCATAGTTCACTTGCAGATCTTTTTTTCTGATACATATTTTAATCTCCAATATTAATAATAAAGGGTAGTTGCTGCTCTTCTCTTTTATAAGAATACGAAGGAAGGAACCATCACTTTCCCTCTCCCAAAAAATGTGAGGTTGTTGTTAACTTTATGACAGAGAATGATTTAGCTGAATTTAAAATCACCCACGTGACTACAAATATCACCTGTTAATTTGGTTTCCAGGATTGGGATCTTATGAAAACACATTGTGCTTGAGGTCATTTCTATCTCCTGCCTCTTCTGATGCCTTTGAAACCTTCAGATGTGACCTTTGGTTGTGTGTCCAGTGAGTGCAGTATGGACAGGGCACAGCTCCAGGGGAGCAAACCATCTCTATGTTTGGGAACTGTGACTGGCTTTTCAGACTGGGCTGTGGATGGCAGGAGGGCTCAGTGCACACGTTTGCTGATTATCCCAGGGGTTCAAACCCCCGGCTCTAGAATTTCTCTAGACAGATTAAGAAGATGTTGGAATGATACCAGCTTCTGTCTGGTACTGATTCTTGTTGCCTCTGCTGTTTTGGCAGGTTGGACAAAGCACTTAAGGTGTGACTGTGTTTATTGTGTGTTGCCTGTGTTGATGAATTAGTGTGAGACAATATATGGTTACTGCAATGGTGTAGGAAAAGCTTTTATCCTTTCAAATGATGGTCAGTGATAAAACTGCTGGTGTTTTCCTGAAACAGATTTTTAACTTCAATGTGCTGGCATATAACCTGCACTAAACAAATACTTAAATTGTTTCATTGTAGTGATGTCCAGAACACTGGCCATGAAAGTTCATGCTTAATCTCCTAGTCAGGTATTTGTAACTAATAAAAGATTTTTTTCAGCTCTGTTTGTATCTCCCATGCATGTTAAAGGGAAATAGAAGAGCAGCAGCATTTCTGTTGCTCTGAAAATTTATTTCTTCTAGATGCTGGATATTGGAGTCCAGCACACTGCTGGTGCTGCTTACATGGTTGGGCATCTGCTTTCTGAAATTCAAAGTCCCTTTCAAAACTGTGTTTGTTTCCAGTTTGATCATTGAAAGCTTTTTCCCACACAACTGATGTAGCTGATAAATGTGTTTTCTTCAGTGGTACCTGCTAGAACAAGAACATGCTGATGCTCTTTATATACTGAGTGCTGTTAATTTAAATTAGACAAGAGGAATTTTGTTGGCAAGGTATTTTTCACTGACTGATACAGGTGGAAAAAGTATGCAAGTTTTAAGTACACAGATGGTTCTTCCAGCAGAAGACAAAAAGACATCTTCAAAACTGTGCAACAGATTGCTCCAACTTTGATTTGTATCAGGCTATTTTAGGAGTAATAGAAGTTGGTGCCTTGGAATAGAAGAGATTCCAGGGGGAGAGTGGAGGCAGAAAAGTGCAGGTCCCCTGGAGTGAGGGAGGGAGATGCACCTGCTTTGTAAGATGGGAAAGGAAAGGAGTTGAATTTCCAGTGTCATCGTTGATTTTTTCCTCACCAACATTATGAATTTTTGCTTCAGTTTTTGTGTTTCCGTTGAAGATCAGATTGTAGAGACCAGGAATGGAGCAACTGGTTTTGTGAGAGCCATTCCTTCAGTGGCAGCTCCATCCCTGTAAGATCCAGCAGATCCCTTCCTGGACCCTCAGTGCACTCAGTCCGTGGAGAGAGTTCAGCAGCATGAAGTCCAGTCTGTTTTCTGGTGGTGATGATTTTCTGTCTGAAATTATCCACAATAAAAGTCACTTATGAAGTGGTTTTGTGTTGTTTTGGGAAGACTTCATTGAGGAGGAGTTGGAAAAAGGTTCCTTTCAATCCCTGTGTGTCAGTAGCACCCATGGGTGTTTTTGGTGGCACAAATTGAGGCTGTGGAGTGGGCAGACTGGTAGGTTGAGTTGATGGTATATGGCAAGTTTGATAATGTTATAGGGTTGTGTTTTTCCTACTGCATGCTCAGTACAGAGGTTATTTCAGATTTATCTTGTAGCTGCAATAGTTCCTAAGAGGGTTGGAGTCATCCTTTTTTATACTGGATGGCTGTCTTTAATTTATTAGCAATCTTGCACCAATTGTGTCCTAGGTAAGATTTACTGTTGCTTTTTCCCCTGAGCTACTGGAACCCAGATCAATTACTTTGGAGCTGACCTTTCCTACAGCAGCTGAGGTGCATGTATTTCTCAGTGCTCTCACGAAGGACAAAATTAGATCAGTTTAGGTGCCTTAACTCTATTTCCATGTAGCATATTTATATAGATAATTGGATTTCTTTTAGCCTCCAGGCTCAATTTCCTGGTCATTGTTACACTTTTTGGTTTTTTTTAATAGACAATGGTAGCCTATTCATGATAATCCTTCCTCCAGTTTACTGGGGTGTGTTTGCTTGTATTAATTTCTGCTCAGTGGAGCTGTGTTTGGGTCCTCAGAATACATATTTTACTTCCTGCTGAAAGCCAGTTGAGCAGCAAAAGTGTTTGAGGTGTGTTGATGGTGGCCATGCAACAAAAAGGTATTCAGAAGGCTGTCACTGTCAAAACAAATTGCTTGTCAAGTGTCTCTCTTTGTTGGCTTCTTCTCAGCCTTTCATCATTTGCACTTTTCAAAAACATCCTTCAGTTTCTGAGTGTTTTACCAGGAATACACCCCCTCCCACTGGAGATGCCTGCCAGTCTTTTTTCTTTCCCCTGAAAAAATACGAGGCAACTCCTTTGAAGCCATAAGATAAAGCTATGTTAAATTGGTTTGAAGTAGTTTTTTTGCTTTTTTTTTTTAGTTTTTCTGAAGGTGGTACAGCCAGCAAGCAAATATTCTAATGAAGAGGACATATAGTAACATATGTTACAGCAGACTTTGCATTTTTAGTAGCAGAGCTGACTAGCTGAAGTAGTTTTGGCAAATTTAGCAAACGCTTCTGTTACAAAAAACCCAAGTTACTGACAAACAAGGATTTGAATGTCCCTTTCTAACAAACAGTACTTCTCCTGTGATAACATTTGTTTCCTCTGTCCCTCTTTCACTGGACTCCAGTGTTCTTCCTTGTATTTGTTGTGAAAGGCTTCCTTTCTGTAAGCCTGTGCTTTTCATTCATCCACCCATTCCTTGAAACATCCTTCCTGTAATATCACCCCATTGTGTGGTTTGTCATTTATGTTCTCTGGGTTCTCTTTTCAACATGACTGGCAGAAATCTGTGTTTTGTATTAAGGAATTGTTGGAGGTTTTCAGTTTGTCTCTCCTTTCTCACGTGGGATAGTATAAAGCTTTTATCAGATTAATTTTTCAGTACATTTATAAAGTTGTTTCAGGAATCAAGTCCTTTTTTTAAATCTTAATTGGGGGAAAAAGTGGCAGTTGACTGTTAAAATGGAAACAGGTGTTTCTGATATAAAAGTGTGTACAGGTGAGAGTCCTGCCCTGTACACCTGTTGTAAAGAAGGGTTTTGGATTCTTTGCCTTTAAAGCTTTTTCAGCCTCCGCTTGCTAAGTTGTGCTTGTTGCCTGGGGCACAGAGGGGCAGAGAAGGACTTGGTGTGAGTGCTGTGAGTCTGGCCAGCCTTGTGCCTGCTGTGTGGAGCCCTGCAGGAGCCGTGGTGGCTCTGTGTGCCAGGCCCTTCACAGAATCCTGCAACACTTGGCATCCTCTTCTCCCAGGTCTTGTGGGTATGGAAGCTTTTCTCAGAAATAGCTGGGAAGGGTTGTGGGTCGTTTGGGGGTGCATGGGAGGTTCTTTGGTGGAAATGATAGTGATAGTCTAGGAAAGAAACTGAGGTTTAGAATCTGCTCTAAATCAGGCTGCAACTCCTTCTGTTTCTCTTAAGGTAAGCATGAATTAAGAAGTGCCATGGAAATCAGCTCTGTAAATGCTGTGTACTGTGGGAAAACACATGGCAGCAGCCACTGCTAGTGCAAGGAATAAATTACCTTAGCCTGTTTTCTCCATGTTGTCAAACAGCCTGCAATGTATTCCTGGAATTCACCTTCCATTAACTTTTGACTCTCCTCAACAGTTATATTTCCCTTACAGGAGTTTAACCCTTAATAGTTCATCCTAGTTTTTAATATTATCTCTTTTTTTTTTCTTTTGTATTTTGTGTACTTGCTTCGTTTATTTTCTTTTGTTGTGTTTTGTTTTGTGTTTATGGCCATGTTCCCATTTCAGAGACCAATGTCCTCTAACTGATGAGCAATTGGTTTCAGGGTAAGACCAAACGTTCTAAACAATCACCTTTGTCTAGAATGGCTTTCTTTTCTCACCATCCTTTTAATTGTGCTTTTGTTTCTGGTTTCTGTTTTACACTGAATGATGAGAAAATTATATGCTAAATCACAGTGTCTTAGGAAATGTATTGCTAAAGGTTTGTGCCAGGGTAATTACCAAGGTCCTACTAACATTTCTGTGCTTCCTGTAGGGAATCCAGAATGGGTGTGGCACTGTCCCTTCTGTGAACTGGGAAAAGCTGGGAGGCTCTGGGCATGCAACAAGTCTAGCCTTGGCATTGTAGTTATTCCAACAAGGAGTCCTAAATCAAATTGTTTTCTGAGGAGAAATGACTTGAAAGTAGAGATCAGTGAGTATTTAACCCCAGGGTAATGATGGAGAGCTCTTTAAAGGACCTGGGTTGGAGCAGCTCTGCTGGTTCTTTGTGCCCCACTCAGCTAAATGGGATGATTACACACATAGAGGGAAGAGTGCTTAACTCGGGGCCCCAGAAGGAAAAAGAAATAATGCATCCCTAGTCCCTGCTTAACATAAACCTCACCTACATACTCAGATCCTGTTCTAAACTACTTGAAAGAAAAATTCTTAATAAAGACCTTGCCTTGAATTCCTGTGGCATAGAGAAAGTTATCATCCATTCTTTTGGGAAAAATTAAATTTGTGTTTGAATCTTCCCCCCTTTTATTCAGTGTGCTGTTGCTATATTGTGCTTGGGAGAGGAGCAGTGGAATATTTTGGACAAATCAAAGCTTTTGTCTATTGTATATTCTTTCTTTCTGCTGAATTCCTTAGTACAGAAGAGGTTTGCTTTCCCCTGGAATTCACAATACTCGGACTAATCTCATAAAAGGAGAAGGGTTACTGCCCAACTGCAAAACCTAATCTGCTTCTAACAAACTCTTGGGCTCTGAGAAGTCAGTGGTTTTAGGTCATCTTAACATACCCCAAAGATGGAAAAATGTGTCTTGAAATATTTAAAGTAAAAGTGTTATTTTCTAAGATGATGTGACAAATTGAAGTAATGGGAATAAGGCATCTGCTGTTTCTCAATTTCCCTATTGTCCTGAGCCTAAGAAATATCAAAATTATGTAGAGCACTGGGGGTTAAAAAAACCCAGACAGCAAAACTATAAATCCAGGCTGTCAGAGGAGGAGAATGAGGTTGGAGTCCAGGTGACTCTTGGGAGAGCCTGTGGTGATAGAAGGTGTGCCTGTGTCAGGATTATCTGTCCCTGAGCTGGTCCTCTGGCTGCCATTCCAGTACTCTCCCAGACAGAGAAGACTCTGTTATGAGATGATCCTGAGGACTTTCCAAAATCAGCCTTTTAATCTCCTCCTCCCCAAAGAGCTGCATGCAAGGGAGGGCAGAGAGGGCTGTTGGTGTCAAGAGCTCTCCTGGGAAACTGCTGAATTCCCACCTTTAGCACCACATATATCTATCTGTTAAAGGATCTGCGGGTGTAATTCCTGGTGGAAGTTATCAGAATGATCAGTTTATCAGCTCCCAGGTATCCTTTGCCAAGGCTGGAGGAGGGAAGGATAACTAATTTCTTACCAGGAACCCGACATTTTCTAGTTTGCCCTCCTTCTCCCTTCACCCCCCAAAACATATGCTCCTTTTGGATCCACTGCTGTTCCCATCTCCCTGGCTCCATGACGAGCCTATTAAGGAGCAGATGAAGAGGGCAAAAAGAGGAGGGGAAGCTCACTGCTGTCATGGTGACATTTCTCTATTTTGAATGTGGTCTCCAGGGTCTGTCAGTCCAGGTCCTGGTCCAGGTTGCTTTGCCCTTTCCTCCCAAACTTCCCAAGTTGTGCAGCTCTGTGGCCCCAGGAATCTCTGGCTAGTCTCTGCTTGCCCTTAGCTTGGAGTTTGGAGCAGAGCAGTCATGGATTTGGAAGTTTGTACACAGCTGCTCCTTCCAGAAACCAAACATAAACAGTGTGGTAAGGGCGACCTGTTTGTACAAGCACCAGAGGCTTTGGCAGTTTGGACCTGTGTGGTCCTTCATGTTTAGTATTTGTAAATAAAAGAAATTCCCCCAGTGTCCTTGAGTGCATTTGTGTTAATTTCTGTAGTACTCCATGACTCAGAGGGAAGCAGCACTAAGGTACATTAATTGCTCCCCTGGGCATAGAGGCTCACTTGTGGCTGAGAGATAAGGTGAGCACAGCACACACCCATGCCTGCCCTCCTCTCTGAGTGATACTGGGTTATCTGGGATACCTGCCTGCTTAGGGGGATGGTCTGGCAGGGGCACACATCCCTGAGTGTAAATACAGAAAGCTAAATAAACATTTTCATTCTTAAAAACCCACTCTCATCAGAAAGTGATTTGAAATTCATTTGGTTAAATAGGAACCTCTGGGAAATCAGATGAAGAGAGAACTTGTTAATGACAAGCCTTGCACTGCTCCTATTCTAGAGCAACAAGTTTACTCTAGCATCTGAGGTCCTCTTCACTGTAGGCTTGGGCTTCACTGTCCCAGGGGACACCTTGAGGAAAACAAATGTTGGTAGAGTCTGGGCCAATGTTGTGAGGCCGTAGGAGAGAGCAGCTGTGGAATTCCTCCCTTGTCATGCTGGATTTTTAGCTGGTTGTGCAGCAGCAGCTGTGTAGATACTTGTCCTCCTGTCTCAGAGCTGCTGCCTTGTCCCCACCAATCCAGAGCAATGCAGTAACCCATGGCTGGGCATTGGGAAGGGCCTACCCTGTCATAAATGGGATTTATCAAATGAGAAAGCCCAGGTGAGGCCAGGCAGCTCTTGGAAGGTGCCAGTGGTCTGCTGAGCACAGCTTGAGATCTGTTAAGTGAGGAACTCGGAGTGTCACTGATGAGCTTTGGGAGAGGAAGGACAAGCATTGGCTGTGTTTCTTCTAATTGAATCAGCTCCTTCTTGCCTTCCCCTCTGCCATACTGGGTGGCTTAAAGATCTCTGTTGTGCTTGAGTGACAGGCTGTGTCAATATGTAGTTGCTTAGTAAGTTAATTAACCTGCAGCTAAATCCAGACAATGGCTAACTCCAGCTGTTTTTATATTTAAGCAAACTGCATCTAATCTTTTCAATGTATTTTGCTGAGCATGTAATTAAATGAGCATGACCCTGCAGTCTTTGTTGTGAATGCTTCCTGTTTTATAATTGTGATGATCTGAGGGATGTAATTTAGGGGTCTTAATTCTACATAATTGGTGGTACTCCAGGTACAACAATCTAGTCACAATTTATAATGCCTTAAAAACTTTAACGTTAAATATATCTGTATTTGGAGGAATATTTTGGGGGTGTGCTTTTTGAAAACTGTAATAACTCCTGTTTTTGCTCTTCAAGGTTTTCGGATGTCATCCTGGCAACAATTTTGGCTACCAAGTCAGATATGTGTGGCAAAAAGTTTGAACTGAAGATTGATAATGTTCGCTTTGTTGGCCATCCCACCTTGCTCCAGCATGCCCTCGGGCAGGTATGGTGTGAGATCCCCTCTGGGGACCTGCCTTCATCAAACACTGCCTGGCTTTACAGAGGAAACCTGCAATCACAATGTGCATGTTGGCTTTTGATCTTGGTTTTACTTGCTGATGCTCCATGCTGTCTTTTACTTACTTCTGGGTCAGTGGAGTGAGTGGCAAACTGAGGGAGCTGTCAGTGATCACAGAAACTCTTCTGGTTACTGTAGGGAAGCAGTGTGAGTAAAGAGAAGTAAAACTGAGCACTCCAGCTCAAAAAGCTCTTTCTCACTATTTTAGTCACTGCAAGTTAGCTTTTAGCACCTCTAATTAGTGTGGCAGTTAAAAACCCACCACTGAAAACCTTCACAAATGCTAAAAGCTGCGTCAGCCTTGTTTGGCTTTTAACTCTTCCTGAGGCTGAAGATGATCCATGAGACTCAGATGGAGTAAGTAGGATGTTGAAAGAAATCTAAAATTTTCTTGTGGACCAAATCAGGCTGCTGTTTGCATTGAGACCTTCCTCCATGCCTTATGTTTTAGGTGCTTAGAATGAGAGCAGTTTGCTACCTGGGCTATGTTAAAGGCCCTGCTTAAATCCAGGAAAGAATTCCTGTGCTTCTGTGCTCCAAATATTACCTGTCTCATTTCTTCTCCCTGATCAGCTGTAGGAATGACCTAGGCTTTGATAATTTCTGAATCCAGCACTGATCCCTGTCACTGAACTGTTTTGGTCTCATTTTTCATCAAATTTGCTAAGTCATTCCTTTTTTTAGGGGAAAAAGAAGTCTGCTTGCCAATTCTATCCCGCTTTCTAGTTATAATTAGGGGTGGAAACAGCTTGTTGGTAACTGCTGCTTGATATTTAGAGGACCAGACTGCTTTAATCCCAGCGAGGAGTTGGCCTAAATCATCGAAAGATGCTACTGTGGCGACTCAGTTGTGAGTCTACAGGAAATGTCATGGAGGATCACCAAGACTCAGTCCTGAAAAGGTTAAACTGTCTTGGAAGACAGGATTCAAGTGTGCCCAAGTTGTGCAAATCCATCAGCAGTCTCAGACAAGGCAAGTGATGAACCAGGCCCAGGGTCTGTATTGGACCCCAGCCAGGAGCAGGAGGAGACAGGACAAGGGTGGGATGTACTTGCCCAAGGATCTGTCCTGGAGACAGGCACAGCTCCAGGCCCTGGGCTGAGCTTAAATGGAGCTCCCAGGTCGTTGACTGGAGGGGCTTGGGTGTAATGGGAACCCAGCTGGGGCTGGCCAGGGCCATTAAGAGCTTTTGGTGCCCTCAAGGCTGTGACAGAAGTGGCCTGTTCTCCCTCGGACTATTTTCCTTTACTAATCTTTTCTTAAAGGCCCAACTTCCTAAACGTAATGTAAACCAGGTTGAAAATTTGTATTTGCATTTTTTTCACCATTTGCTATTGCACATTCTTTCCAGTCAGTTTAATCCTAATTGCATTAAATGTGACTTCATTTCAATTTGTCTAAATAAAATTGCATCTGGGCAAATAAACACAGTTATAAAGAGCTGTAAACACTTTTTTTTGTTACTTCTGAAGGAACTTCTCTTTGGGTGTGTCTTATCACCCCAGGAGGCACCCCAGAACTTTCTGGAGTCCAGAATCTTCCAGATGTGTCAGCCATCTCTGCAGGTTTGTGTCAGTCTAAATCTGAGACCCTCCTGCAGTTAGGAGGAAGCCAGATGGAGCTGCTTTTCCATGGAGCTCAGGCAGTGTCTGGAGTAACCCAGCAGCCTCTTCTTTGAGTTTCCTCAGAGTTCATACTGCAGTAAATTAATCCACAGGACAGCTCAGCAAATTTTTACTCCAATGAGACCCAGGAGCTACGAGAGCACAAATATTTAATCCTATGTGCCAGATTGCTTTTTATGTAGCAATGTTCTGAATTCTTCAAATTCCTTCAGCATTTTCTTTCTCAGCTTAATCTCCTTTTTTTTCTTTTTTTCCTTTTTTTTTCTCGACATGAGGTGATATGCAGTCTAGCCTGCATCCCAGCTGATGTTAGTAGTGGTAGTTTCTCTGATTTTAAGGAAGGAACAGAATCAGTCCTTATACTTGGAAATTCACAAGACGTCCTGGAAACTGTAACTCCAGGATAGATAAACACAGTAAACTACCTTTGCCACTCTCCCATCACTGCCTTTCTGAAAAAATGTAATTTTCACTTTAGGAAAAAAAAAAAACCAACCCAGAAATATATATCACCTCTTAGTTTGCTAAATTTTGAGACTCCTGAGTGCAAGCAGTCAGATTTGGGAGTTCAGTCCCGAGCAGTTCACTGCTGGTGCTTGGAACCTGTCAGGAAGGGCAGATGCTGCTCTGTGTTTGCCCTGGCTCAGGTGCTGCACATACTTTGGGTAGACCCCGACTATTGTTTGGCCTGGCAGGTTGCAGCTGTTTGCACTTGGGATTGGGTGGGTGTTGAGCAGGGAGCTGCAGGGGAGGTGGGAATGTCCTCTGCATTTTGTGCTCCATCTTGTGGTGACACGTGCTCCCTTTGGAGTTGGTCTGGCCGTGCAAATTCCACTTGCTTGTCTCAGCTCCTGTTTCTTCTCGCTGGAAAGTTTGAATCTGCCTTAGGGATGGAGCTCTGCTACAAAGAGAATAGAGGGGCTGGATAATGTGCTTGAAATCCTGCAGGAAGGGAAAAATCAAACCTTTTATTTCAGTACTGCTATTCTGGAACACATTTTGTCTGATAAAAGCAGCAGCTTGTAACAGGATGCAATTTGAATGGGGATTTTAGGAAAGGAAGCAATAGGTGTGGCCTCAGATAAGAAATCTGTGGAATTCTATTGACAGTATATCTGACTACATATATATCTTTATATATATTTGTGCTAAAGAATTTGAACCTAAGTTCAAATGATGCTAAATGTAATAACAAAGACACTAGGTAAGAATGCTGTCTTAACTGACACTCATTTCCATGCTTGTGACCAAAAAGCTTTGGTTTAAGTCTTCACAGCTGCTCAGCAAAGTCAGTGCTGTAGAGTAACTGTAACACTCCAATAAAAACCAAAATCATAGTTCTATTTTTTGCAAGCATATTTGATGTTATAAATTGATTTGTCTGCTCTCTTTTCTCAGCTTGTTATTTAACTAGGGCTTTTTATTTTTTTTTAATTACTTTCCCTTTGTTACTGTCTCTAACTGACACTAGCCAATGGGATTTTCTAAAAAATATTTTTCAGGTATCCAAAACTGACCCCTCACCGAAGAGAGAGATGCCCACCATGATTCTGTTCAACGTGGTGTTTGCACTAAGGGTAAGGATCTGCATTCCATCTGACAGTGGGATGTGCCTTGGCTGCATAAGAGAATGCAGTAGGCTCCCACTCCAGGCTTGTTTTATGATTAATGGTCAGTGTTTGAAAGCTGCCTGCTCTCAGCAGTGAGGTCACTGTAAAGGGAGAGTGCCAGGGAGCTGCAGCTGAGCAGCTGAATGAGGAGAAGATACAAGTGAAGAATAAAGAGGTTTCAATGCTCAGCAAAAACCTGGAACAAATACATAGTTTCTGCCTGGAATTTTTTCAGGTTTCCTCTATTAACTAGATGCTGGTGTTAAGGGATCCTGGCTTGGCTAATTAGGTGCATAAAGCCCTAGAAACTTCATTATGTTCAAGCATTATTTGATTTCTGAGCTCTGGCTTTCTTTTCCTAGTCCACAGGTTGTTTAAAAATAAAAGGGAGAGCTGGAATAGGTATCTTTGTGGAAATGGTTGATTTTTGCTTGACTGGATGAAATGTCATAATTTAAAAGCCTCCAGCTACCTGCTTGTGAAATTAATTTTTTTTTCTTTTTAGCACTAGTACTTTTCTTACCACTGGCTTTGCAGTGGTGACATGGACATGGCCCCAGCCTGCATGGCTTGTCCTCAGATGAGGAGCAAGGTTTCACCTGAATCAAGCAAGAAATTGTTTACAGAGCTGTGCTGGGAATCCAGTGTTGCTGTGCTTTAGGACACTCCTGGGTCAGGGAGTGCTGAATTTGCAATGGAGGAGTTGATTTTAGATTTCACATGTTAGGAGATGTTGCTTTGGTGAATTGCTACAGCCCTGTGCTTTGCTTGCAGGGAAGTGAGTATAGATGTGCCTGCAAACACACACATTGATGCACACTGAACCATGTGGCAGCACGAGTGTTGAAAGCAATGCTCTTTCATTCACAGTGAAGACCAGCCCACATTTTTCTGGAGCCTAATTTCTAGTGCTTCTAGGAAAACTTGCTTTCTTTGCCCTTCAGCCATGTGATGATACTGATGTAATTGTGTGTGTGATGCAGCACTCAATCCATTTGCCAGATGAGACACTCTTAGTTCACAGGGAGCAGTCAGGTTTCTGGAAAGTGTTGGGCAAGAAGCAAGTGGAAGTTTTTCCCTAGGATGGAGTAGTGAAGTGCAGGAGGTGGGTGGAGGCCCTCAGAGATAAAGATGAGTGTCCATCTGCAGTGGGCAGACAGAGTAGGCAAAGGCCCAAGTGTGATAATCAGCACTGATCCTGCTGTGTTTGAGCTTCAGGGCTACCAACGTGGTGTGACTCAGCAAGAACAGTGGAGTAAAAAAAAAAAAAGATGAGTCATGGTTTGCTGGTCTCTGTGCCAAGTGGTCACTTGCCAGAACTTTAAATTCTTTTAAATGTCTTAACAAACATGAGGCAGCTGCTGACTCATGCTGGAGCTGCTGATTCCCCCCTCACCCCCCGTGGCAGCTGTACTGATTTGATCGATTTTTCCAGCACTTTCTTTCTGGGACTGTCATAAATGCAGTGTTCGAAATAAGCCATATTTGTGGGTTTTTTGGGAATGTAAATCCAAATTAATTCAGGTTTGGGATGAAAATGTTCGTCACGAGCTGGTAATTGTTACCAATTGGTAATTGGTCATGAATTGGTAAATTGTAGTTACCAATTACAATTGGTAATTGTACATTCAATGTACTGCCTTGTCAGTACATGGGACAAACACCAGTGTGGCAACATGGAGTTAGTGGGACATGTTTAGAGGGGCTGCAGCCCTTGTGCTGCCAGTGAGTTTATCCTGAACATTGGGATATTCTTCCTTTTCAAATAGCTTGACACTTTCTCGTCTCACTGTGGGAAGTTGAGGTCTTTGCTCTCTGCTGGTAGAAGGCCCATTAGCAACTGGAAAAACAAACCAGATTAGGGGTATCCTGGTCCAAGTGTGGTGTTCCTTTGATGAATTTAGACAAGCTTAGAAATCCAAATTACATTTGGACACCTTGGATTTTCTGCGTGGTTGCGAGTAGGGAGAATTATGTTCTTTTTCCAGTCAAGAGGCTGATTTTTGGTATGTGATTTTTGGTACCCCAGTACCTGCTGCATGTCCTGTCTCTGTGAAGTAGAGCTGAGTGCCATTCCGTGGGCACAGGCCTGTCACCGTGCCTCTTGCTGTTCTCCATGATCCCCGTGTGCAGTCTGCACAGGGAGAGATGGTCAGTTCTGCTGATGCTGACAGGGTTCCACAGACTCCTAAGAGGATGGCAGGGGTGGGAGGCAGAGGGGAAGGCCATCCTGCACACCTAACAGCTGGAATGAGGGAAGTCTCAAGGCAAACCACCATCATCACCGTGGCTCCACGTGCTCAGCGGCTGCTCCTGTTCCTGCAGGCCAACGCAGACCCGTCGGTGATCAGCTGCCTGCACAACCTGTCGCGCAGGATCGCCATCGTGCTGCAGCACGAGGAGCGCCGCTGCCAGTACCTCACCCGCGAGGCCAAGCTCATCCTGGCCATCCAGGACGAGGTGTCTGCCATGGCAGAGAGTGAGTGCTGGGAGCAGCAGCGCTGCCTCCGAGAGGTGCTGCTCGTGCCTTCTCGCTTCTCCCGTGCCTGGCATGGCTGGGAACGGGGTTTGGTGCTCTGCAGCGTTCTGACAGCTTTGCCCCGCATTTTCCCTCAGCCGAGTTCACTATGCCCATGCACAGATGTGAGTTTTAGAGGTGAAATAATTTCGTTGCATTCTTTGCTAGTTAAGTTCAGCACAATCCCTGGAGGCTGTGCACTGGGCCATCCTGTTGGCCTCTCCCTGTCAGGCTGACATGGAAGAGCTCCTGTGTGGCCTGCTTCACCCAACCTAGAGCAAGTTTTGCATGCTTTAATGCTGTCTGCTGAGCCACCAGACTTCTTATGTGGAAGCTTCACTCTTACATGCTGTTACCTGGCTAGCAAACAGTTACAGAGCATTTTTATAGACTGTACTTGGAAAATGTACTGTAACAATATGCACTATTTAAGGTGAACTCTGACAGTGATGCATCATCTTGCTGCAAGCATTAAAAATTAAAGCTAATATCGAGAAAAACAAAGCATTTAAAGTCATCATTTGTCAAATTTGGTTACATGTGCTTAACTGAGTTGAGGTTTAGCAGAAGTTGGCAATCATTCAGTATTATTATTTTAACGTGTACTTTGAGTTATTGTAAAAGCTTTGAAAGATAATTGTAGATTAAAATTATACAAATTCTGCCCCTAAGATACAGATTGATGCCCAGTGGGGGAACAGGAAACTTTGATTTGAAGCCAGCTGTTTGCTTTCTTGTTTTGAATCTTTCCATAGCCACAGAAGGGCCCCAGTCACCTTTTCATCACATCCTACCCAAGTGCAAGCTGGCCAGAGATCTCAAAGAGACATATGACAGGTAAGATGGATTTTAGTCCTAGCTCAAAGTATGCTGTTTCTCACTGAAATCTCTTGGCTTTGTTCCTAAGGCTATTATCCACTTCCTCATGCTGTTAATCACTGGGATTCGGGTTTTAAACCAGGTACAAATTTCACAATGTGAAGCCTGGCAGTCAGGTGAAATGTTTGCATAACTGCTATACTAATCATTACCTTGGTCTGTCTTGGTATCTTGTAGTTCTTAAAAGTTGGTGATGTCTGTCACAGCTTTAAGAATTGTTATTTTCTTCCCTAGCACAGGGCCACCTAATGACAAGTGAAGTGTAGAACTGACAAGTGTCTTAACAGGGATATCACAACACTGGGGAAATGCTCTAAATCTGCAGCTAATAAGAGGAAAGTGCTGTAAGAGCACTGGTGGCAAGTCAGGTACTGCCCTGGCCCCATTTGTGCGTGTCTGGACAGCAAATTTGGATGAGATGCTGAGACTTCCAGCAGAATGGAAAGTGTAACATGCTGTTTCTTGACTGGATTAGAAGTTCTGGCAAAGGTTTCAAAGCAGTGTGGGGCTGATGTTGAGCCTGTGCCTGTCAGTGCTGCCTCCTCGGGCCCAGAGGCTCCTCCAGCCAGGAAATGTGCTTGGGGAAAGGCCTGGACAGAGGGACACAGAACCTCTGTGTGGGGGGAAAGATGCTGTGCCCCTTGCTTGGGGTGTTTGTCAGGGATTCAGGGAATCAGGCTGGACTTCTTCAGGGAACCCTTTATCCTCTCTGGGTTCTGGCTTCTCTTGTACAAAGGGAATCAGAGACCTGTAAGGTAAGGCACTGGGAGCCTAAATAATATAATGGTTGCAAAGAGCATCAGAAAACTTCTGCTAAGCTGCTCTTTGTGCTCAAGAGCTGTGAATTTCATCTGGTTTGAAGGAATGTGGTATATGGTTCCACACACCTTGCACAAAACCTATACTAAACTTTTAAGTAAGGCAGCTTTTATGCAGCCTGTAATTCTAATATTCCAATTATATTTTTCTGTTCCTCTAGGGCTATGTATTTATGACTGGGCAAATCCTGATCGTGTTTCCAAATATTTTAGGGACACAGTGACATCTTGTGGCATTTAGCTGTGACTGTAGCAACACAGAGCCCGAGCTCATGGACTGTGCTGATAGGAGCCTTCCCAGAGATAAGGAGGAACGGACAGACCATGGAGAAATACACTTTGGTGCTGCCCCCAGCTGTAAAACAAGGCAGTTTCTCTCTGATTTAGGCATTGTGAGTGGGAAAGAAGTGGTGCAAGTTGGATTTTGACACTTCTGTATGATGCTGTTGAAAGCAAATGAAGGAAATAAGGTGTTGGTAAAATCTGAAGTGCTGCTTGCTCGATTGGAAAGTTGTACTTGAAAAGGAGCTGACTGTTGTTGAGTGATAAGGAAATGTTCTGCAGGGCTTTTCTATTAATACTTCAGATGAGAGCATAGGAAATATGCTTGTTTTACCTGCAGTCAGATCAGCTGAGAGGAGCTGCAGCACCTTGCCAGGCAGGAATAGATTTAAAATTATTTTTTAGTAAGGTAGAAAAAAGCTTCTAGAAATACAATTTTTTTCTGCAAGTCCAGGATGAATTAATTATTCCTGTGTGGCAGCAGCTCTGGGGTGAAGGCTGTGTGGTCTTCTGTGAAGTGAGGGTTAGTTGTAAGTGACATGAGGTTACAAAAAGGAGCAGATAGACAAGAATGCATTAAATAAGTCTTGTCTGTAAGATAGGCACCAATCCTGCTCACAGTTGTAAAACTCCTGCTGTAATGAATATTTTATCCAGTTTGGACACCACATTTCAATAGGGATTTAGGCCACCTAGAGAGTGTGGAGGAGTGTGAATGACCTCAGAGGGAAGATGGAAAGATTTGCTGTGTTGCTTTTAAAGGAGGAAGGATTGCTGGGAAGGGTAAACCTTGGGATGCATGCAGTGACAATGTGCTGCTCTAAATTTACAGAGTCTTCTGGCATAGCCTTTGGCTCTAGGAGAAGAGCCAGTGGAGTGGAGAGAACACTTTGAATTGCAGATGGAGCCCAGCTCTCCATTTGAGATTTGCTCCAACCAGCATTTCCTGCTGATTTCTGCAATTCCAGCTCAATTTCCAGGGTTGCTCCAGAGGTGCTGTCAAGCCCTTGGCTTCCTGTAGATGGTGCTGAGGTATTTCAGGCAAGACCCAACATGTCCCTGAGCAAGCTGGTTTGTGCAGAACCACAAGTAGAGGAATATTTTTGTCATTCAAAGTGTTCCTTGGTTTTGAATGAGATGCCTGTGTTCCATAAGGCAGGATCAGTACTCAGGACATCTTGACTAGACATGGAGTGGTATTACACTGACAGCTCAGAGGCTTTCAACATCTACTTCCTGGCACATTTTGTCTCTAATGGAGAGAACTAGAATGTTTCTTTTTATTAATTCAGAAATTTGAGAGTCTTCATTCATCTTGGCCCCAAACTGAAGCATTGGTGTGGAACAGAAATGGTTTTTAGGCCTAAGAAAGTTTTCAGGAATTCCAGTGCTGAAAAATCTGCTGGTGTCTCTTTTAAGGAGCTTCCACATAGTTTTGTCTGCAGCTGCAGATAATATGTGAGCTTGATACTTACTTAACTGCCTGTCTGGTTCTAGCAAACTTCTCTTAGCTTTGCATTGGAATAAAAGTGAAAGTATGGAGAGGTTTTTGGGGAGGTTTGGATTTTTTGTTTCTTCTTTTTAATACAGAAAGAGCCTTGGTAAATTTTAGTGAGACTTGAACTGAGTGGTAGATCTAGTCCATCTCAGCAGTTCAGGGAATAATTCTATGAGACTTAGTGAATTATTAGATCTGATTTCTGTGGCTGTGCTGTAAAATATAATCCAACTACAGTTATTTATCAAAGGACAGCCCTTTGTCCTTTATAAGGAAATGTGAAACCAAAGCTCTGAGTAGTCACAACCTCTAGGAAAAACAAACTCCAAAGCTACAAGCTCACCTCCATCACACTCAAAACATGGAGTTAATTTCTGATATAAACAGGATAGATGTGATATGAGATGTGTGTATGTAAAAATTCATAACTCTTTTATAAACGTGAAGTGGGATTTCTTTATTTTGCCAATAATTATGGAAGAGGCTGCAGTTCTGTGAGATACTGGCAAACTTTCAGGTTCTCATTTTGGGGCAGTAGCTCACATTCAGGACACAGCAGAATAGAATAAAAGAGCAGTGATAGTCGATAAAATATTCCCCAGCTTCCTGCAGCCCTGGAGGGGTTTCTGTACATTCAGCAGCTTTCAGCTGATCTCACTTCCCGGAATTACCCCCCAATCCTGGGAGCCAGAGTAAATATTTAACAACCACAGCATCCTCTGATAAGGAGGTCCATGGCTTAACTACTTTCTGTGTTTCTTTCTATTTCTTCTGAACTTTGCTCCTTCTTGTATCATGAGATGTCTCATGGGCTTTGTGATGGACAGACATTAAACAGCTTTTTCCTGTTTGCCTCTCCCCTGTCTCAGTTTTAAACTCTGTTATCTGATTATCCTGATCCTTGCCCATGTATCCTTCAGATTGCTCATCAGGTGTTATCAAACCAGAGATTAAAAAAAAAAAAAAAGTGTTGAAACTAAGTTTTTGTGGAATAAAATGTCTTGGAGGGTTTAATATCCTATTGCCTGAATCTTTATGTCTGTACTGGGGACATTATTTAACTCTGCTCTCTGGCTAAGGGCACTTGCAAGTGTTGCTGCTGGAGGGTGTAGCTTGTTCCTTGTCAAATTACAGACACTTAAATTATTTTCTATGCAAGGAGGGGCAGGTGAAGGAGAAATTGTGTGCATAAAGCTATAATGAAGGCTGGAAATTGTACAGCTGAATGCAAATGCAGAAGAATGAAATTAAGATCCAGATCAGAAGTGAAAGTCTGGTTTTCTTGTTGTCTTTAATTCTTGGCTCTTGTTGTATAGAGCACTGAAGACAAAATTATGCTGTGAAGAGTGTAATTATGTAATTAAAGCTTTTGCCTTAGTGCACTTGGACCAAAGAATGAAAGGAACCAACTGGATCTTTTACTGAATGTTAAACTCTGCAGGAAAAATGTCCCTGTGATGCCTTGAGAGGCTACTGGAACAGAGGCTAGACAGTGTTAAAGGAATAAAGTAGATTATTAAAAGGCCTTTAAAAGGATACACCTTGGGCAGCACTAGAGCCTGGCTGTGGTCCCACCCAAGATGGATCCCAAGTCACGAGTTTTCACGAGTTTTTATAAGTTTTGGTCCATTTCCATATTGGGGTTAATTGTCCAATCCCAGCTCCAGGTTCTGCAGTCCCATCATCCCAGATTGCTCTCCTCAATTCACTGCTGTTTGCACTTTTTGGGCCTGAAGCTGTAGTGATGGCCTTGGTTCTGGGGCTGCAAAAGAATTGTTTTTTCTGACTGACTGTGAGGAGAACTTGCTAACACTTTATATGAAGTTCAGAGTTACACACCAATGCAGAATCTGGAAAATATGAAAACTAAAACTTAAGGCATCACCTGCAAGTGTTTCATGCTTTCATGTATCTCTGCTGCTCCTGGGTAACCTGTTATTACAACCCCACGAGCTTTCAGGTGGTCTCTGAACTTGCTTGTCCCATTCCTTTATTACCATGTTTCCTCTTGACAGGATTTGGCCTGGGAGATGGTGTGGATAACCACAGCTTCAGCCCTTTTCCCTGCTGTATTTTGAGGGAATCCAGCTTTATCAGTCAGTTGTTTTGTGGTGGGATAAGCAGTGTTACTGGAGCTGCAGCATTTAATGAGCTAAGCCAGAGGTGTTTGTGCTTTGCATGTTCCTTCAGGGCTGGGAGCCTCTGAGCAGATGAGACATGGATTCAGCCTCTCAGTTCCATTTAAAAAGAGGAAAACACACAGTATCTGCTCCATTTGCAGCTTGAAAAATCAGCATTTTCCAGAGTTCAATGCAAGATTTGAGAACAAAACCTTTTGAAAAGCATTGTTTGCAGTGAGATGTTCCCCAATGAGTCTGATCATGTACGAGGTAGGAGGGGATGGTGTTTGCTCCCTCACCACTCTGTTGTGGTTTGGTGAGTAGCTACACCAGCAGCCAAAGCTAGCCAATGTTTTTGTTTAAAGCTGGAATTTCAGCTCTCTCCAAACCCTCTGCACAGCCTGATGAGCTTGTGACCTGCAGTTGAGTGCTGGTTATAAATGGTTAAATCATCACATAAAGACTTTTCCAAGATATGTATTTGCTCCCGGCCTGTTCCTGGCATGTTTTTTAATCTGCTTTGTGTAGAAGGGGAAATTCATGGTAGTTACTGACACAAAAGTCAAATTGCATGTCTCAACACATTTTGAATTTAAAATTCAGGCTGGAATTTTCAGAGTGCTAACTTTGAAATTTGATTTTAAGCCAAAAAGCATTGTTTGGGAAGAAAGCTTAAAACTGAAGGGCATTGAGAAATTCAATTTTCTGATGTAGGCAAGATTAGCTGTTGCTTGAGATTGATCAGCAAGTTCATGTGTTCCTAACTCATGAAGAGGAGTGGTGGACTTTGCTGCTTCCTCCCAGGGCAGGTGTTCCCAGGCCAGCATTCCCTGCCTGTGGAATGGGAATATTGTGAGAGTTTGCAGGGTGGTGCTGGCTTAGCTCCTTATGGTACATTACCCATTTGAAGTAAATATAGTTCCCTCCTGAGATGTATTCCACCTCTTGTCTAGATTTGCAGACATCTGTAGAAGCACCTGAATGATGTTCCTGACTCTAAATCTCCAGCTTTTCTGATTTTTTTCAGTAAAAAGAGGCTTATTGTTGCTTTCAGGCTGAGCACCAGGGTCAGACTTTGTCTTTATTTTTCCTGAGACATCCATTGCTTCCACTCCAGTCCTGTTGTCTGTAGTGAGTTTAAGGGCTTAGCTCAGTCCCTGTGGTTTCCTAGAATGAAGAAACCACGTAACAAGCACGTTTGTGATTTCATGTGACAAGCAGGAACAGGTCTGTAAGGAAACAAACAACCTAAGCAGAACCCAAGGAGGCTGTTATTGTGGAAACGTGCTGCTTGGAACAGTACTTGCCCAGTACAGACATCCTCTTTTCTTTTTCCTTGGAGGGGAAAATGGAAATTGGAGGTGAAAACAATGCCCAGTTTGTCTTTGGCCTAGAGAATTTTCCTTTGCCTTGAAGTAGATCTTGAATAAACTTCTTTAATTTGAGACACTGCTGCAACATTAAGAGTGGAGGGAACAGAAGGTCGGTGATGAAGTCTTTGAAATTTCCCTCAAAATCCTATAGGAGATGGTGCTCTGTAACTCTAAGTGTAGGAGTTCCTTGCATTAGGAGTCAGGTCCTCAGACAGGGTGTCTTCAGTCTTATCCTATCCTGGTCTGATTTCTGTGCAGGGGTGACCCTGGACCACTGTTTTCCCTCGTAATAAAGAGTAAATGCTGTATGATTTATTGCCTTCCTATTTTAGTCTCTGCACCACAGGGGTGGTTCGTTTACACATCAACAACTGGCTGGAAGTGAGTTTCTGCCTTCCTCACAAAATCCACTATGTTGCCACCAACTTCATACCCCCAGAAGCAATTGAGAAGAGTCTGAAATCCATCAGGTAAGAGCAAGCTCTGCCCCTCAGAGTGTGGCCAGTCCTTGCTGCTGTTCCAAGGGTGATGCTGCCCATGTCTGAGGTGGCACAGGCAGGGGGATGGTGTGGCTGGGCTGTGCAGGAGCGGGGCCCTGGGCTCAGACAGGACTCCCTGGAGCTGCTGCTGTGGCTCTGTGGTGCTGCTGGATTCATGGTGGTGGAAAGCCACAGCCTTGGTGTTCACTTTGGATGGTTGTACTGAGGGGATGCTGAAAGGGTGACCTGCACTGTTTGCAGCCAGGAATTGTGTGCTCATTTTAATCCGTTGACCCAGAAGTAATTCTGCTTTTGGAAGAAAGAGAGCCCAGGTCCTGGAATACCTTATTTCCTGTGTTTGTCTACCTGCAAAATATCTTCTGCTTTCTTCCTTTCTGCTACTCCATTCTGTATTTCAGTAATGCAGATGAGCAGTTTTCAGACTTGTTCTCAATTGTGTGCCAATACAGTGCAGGCTTTTTTCCTTGTCAGTGGGGTATCCAGTTACCCTGTCTCTCCTTTTTACAGGGAGTGTCATATGCTGTGACATAAAAATAAGCTTACTTTGAACCCAGTAAGAACAAAAAGATGATATTAGAAATTCTTTTTTTATCATTACATTGACCCCAGGTATCGTGGTGTGGGAATAACAAAGCCTTCAGGAAGAGCTGCAGTTTACTGTGCAAATGTATTCTATTTTTCTGCAGGCCTTACCATGCCTTATTACTTTTAAATGATGAGAAGTCATTGCTTAATGAGCTCCCGTTGGACTGCTCTCCTGCCCTGGTGAGAGTAATTAAAACTACCTCTGCTGTGAAGAATTTGCAGCAACTGGCTCAAGATGCTGACTTGGCATTGCTGCAGGTACGGGGAGCTGTCAGCAGCTGCTGAGAGCCTTTTAAATCACGAGGTCTTTTCTCCTGTGTGCCTGTGGGCTTCTGTGGGGCAGGAGCACAGCACCTCCCTCGGTGTGAGCAGGGAGAGCCAGCCCTGGAGCCTGGGGAAAGGCTGGAGAAACAAAGGACAGAGGTGCAGGGACAGGGCAGTCCTGTCTCAGATGGGAGTCCCCGTCCCTGGAGTCTCTAATCCTCACCACTGCTCAGGACAAGTCCATGAAAACAGGCTGATGAAAAACCTCTCTTTGAATTGTGAGCACCTCCAGGGCTGCATCTCACAGCCTCTCTGGTCCACATCTGACCAGCATCTGAGTGAAACCTTTCCTCGTCTCTAATGGGAATTTCCCTTTGTTCTCCTGGTGTATGCTGCCTCAGGACCTGTCCCTGTGTCCCTCTGAGGAGAGTGGCTCTGTCTTCTCTGTGCCTCCTGCTTGGTAGTTAAAAGCAGAGCAAATTGTACTCCTGACTGACACCACAGTGGCCTGTCTTGGTCCTGCCACACTGATGTCTACATGCAGATGAAGCACCCAAAATGCAAGTGAATGTTTACAGCTGCCATGGCCAAATATGTCGCTTCCCCTGGAGCTGTGAAGATCTTTTCTCCCAAAGACAGATGAATGCCTGGACAAACCTTCCCATCCATTTCCTTTAGTCCATTAGTGCACTTGGCAGTCATAGGAAGAAGATTGAGTTTAGGCTTGGGCAAAGATTTTGAGCCAGTCTCCTCAAGCCAGCAGCTCTTTCCAAATGCCTTTCCAGTAGTGACAACCAGCTCTCAAACCTGAATTGCTGGAGGTGACGTGATGAGGCCTTGGGAAGTTTGTGCTGGTGGAGTGATGAGACTCTGACAATCCCATGAGTTGTGAGGCCACTGAGAGACCCCTGTGATGATCATTTGGGATGATCCCATAGAGGGAAGGGCCATTCCACGCTCCTAAGGGTCGATCCAGACGCAGGGACACAACCTGTGCTCTGTGTGACAGGGGAAACACAGCTCACCATCACATGTTCTGTTCATTGGTCAGTGCCTCCTCTTGTTCCAAGGGAAAGGTCCTGCTTTGTAATAAAACTCCAGGTCTGCCTGCAGTGGTCTGTGGTGTTACTTGGCTATGGGATGAACTCTGGAAATTCCCTACTGCTTCTGTAGTTTTGTTCTCCACAAAAAAGCACAGTTAAATGCATCTAATGATACAGGCTGGATTTTATGTCTTGTAGACACTATTTATGTGGCTTTTCCAGAGCCATTAGCAACCACTGACTTGTTTAACACATTAAAATACTTTGTGTAACTCATTACTGAAATACCTCCGTGCAGTAAAAAGACAGTGTTGGTTTCCTTTATGTTTCTGTCATAGTAGAAGCTGATTCTTTTGTTTTAGTTTTCATGTATTTTATTTTTCATGTATAACACAATGCATTTTGTGCATAAAGAAAAATAGTTTTTGGGGGCATGAAAAGAAACTAAACTTGTATTGATACAGTTTGAACCTTTGAGGCAGGAAATACTAAGTTGCATAGAAATGTGAAGTGAATCTCTGGAAATTCATAACCTTGTCAAATGCCTTTTGATCTGCCACATGTTATATTAAACCATGAATTTATTCTGAAGGCAGGGTAAAAGGATGGAACATTTTTCTTTCATTTCAGCTCAAACGAGACTTTTTTTGTTGTTGTATGAAACACTTGCTGACAGTTTGTATATTGATTTTGCTCCCCTAATTTTTCCCTGTTTTCTCAATACAGGTTTTCCAGCTTGCAGCACATCTTGTTTACTGGGGCAAAGCAATTATTATTTATCCTCTTTGTGAAAACAATGTCTACATGCTTTCTCCAAATGCCAGTGTCTGCCTGTAAGTAGAAGGAAAATGTGTTGGTGGCAGCACAGTGCTGAGGAGTGCAGATGCACTTTCCTTCCCTGACTGGATACAGAGGGGGATCTTTCTTCATTAATTTGTTGAGACTGTGCAAAACACAAACCATTACATGAGCCTGAACTTGCACAGCCAGTGTGGGCAGGGAGGAGCAGCAGAGCAGATCAATATTCCTCTGTGGTAGTGAGAGCCCTGGAAGCAATATTTACCCTGTGGAGCTGCTGTCAGTATTTTTTGTACTCCTGCTCACTGGATGTCCAATATGGGAACATTTAGAAACCAAAATACTTTATGACTAAGTTAAATGAGTGGTTTATAGGGCTCTCTGTGTAGCTGGCACACCTGACATGAATCAAAAGTAGCAAAAGTTGCCATTGTGTTGTTTCATGTGCTGGCATTCCACACTGTGTGCCTTGCACAGACAGAAGGCAGCAGGGCCATTTGCAGAGCCACTGCAAGGAAGATGTGGAGGCAGGGCTGGGTAATTTTGCTCTGCTGAAGATTGACCGTCCTTTCTCTATTGGATTTTGAGATGCCTTTAGACTCTGTGTTGGAACTCAGTTATAGGAAAATAGTTTTAAATTAAAACTTTGGTGATGGAAGTATAAAAATAGGGCTGGAAGGGACCTTGAGGTCATTCAACAACAACTGTGCCTGTGTCAAATATGGCAGTGCTGTTGTTGAAGGCCTTTGGAGATGGAAATGCTAAGACAGACAGTTTTCCTGATATTTAACTTGGCTATCCTTTACTTCTGTTCAGTCACATTTCTTGTCCTGTCAGCACGGGGAGGGGGCACAGCCACATCTGCAGCTGCAGTTGGCACATTCAGAGGTTGTGTGTGTACCCTGCCCAGCCCTGCCCAAGCTGTGTCCCTTTGATCAGAGGCTGCACAGGTCTGGACTTTTTAATCACTTTCATTTTTCTCCTCTGGATTCCCTCCATGCCTTGGATAAAATGCTGGAGCTGAATGTGAGGCTGAGGTGAAAGTGTGTGAGCTTCTGGCTGGCTTCTGCAGGACACAACATGCCATCAACTGTGCTTAGGGGTTTTCTAGACCACAGGGAATATTACATTTGGGAATTGGCACTCCTGCAATGCTTAACTGGATCAAAGTTACCCTGAGCAGCACCACAGAGCTGATGTGTGCCTTTGCCTCTCTCCTGCAGTTACTCTCCCCTGGCAGATGCCTTCTCCTGTCAGTTCCGGGGTCACAACCTGCCCTCCATGCTGGCCAAGTTCTCCCTCCCCGTGTCCCTCTCCGAGTTCAAGAACCCGCTGGCACCGCCTGTGCAGGAGGTGAGCTGGGCACTGCCCACCAGCTCCTTGTTCTGCTGCTTACAGGGGATGCTGCTGCTCCTGGAGCACTGGGCAGGAGCCTGCTCTTGCACATTTACAAGTTCACAGTTTCTGTGTTTCCAGTCTAATGATTTATTGTTTCACTTCCTCGTGCCAAAAAGCTGTGGGGATGTTCAAGGTGAGAGGATGCTCTGTGCTGGCACTAAAAGAAGTATTAGAACATTTCTTTTCATGGAGTGGTGTAGTATGGAAAACTGAAACTCCATTTGGTCTGTTCCAAACTGTCATCAATTGGCTGAATCAAGTTTGTGGATTTGTCAAAATCACATTTGCTTTTATTATATTTTCTGCTCCACATTCACAATCTGTTTTTAAAAGCAATCTGTCTGCTGACTTGGTTTTGCTGTAAAACTGGAATGGTTTAAAGGCTTTTTGAGGAAGTAGGCTCAGCATGGGGTCAGCAGAAGTCCATGTGTCACTGCATTAGCTTCTTAGTGTTAATAAAATATAGATTTTGGATTTGTGAGCTATTTTGCTTGTGCATCAGTCATGGCTTGTGGCATTTCTGGGAACTGGTGGAACACAGGCAGGAGCTCAATAACATGAGGTCTCCTGGCTGGTACTGTTCTGTTCCCAGATGGAGGAGCCTGGACCTCTGACCATGGCTCAGTGTGCCAAAGGAAGCATAGGCAGAGTTCTTTGGCTGGTTTCTCATGGTGTTTGTTTCTGGCCTCCAGACTTGGGTGCTTTGGTGGCTCCATGGGTTTATCCCCTGCTCAGATACAGAGATTACCATCACCTGGGCACTCCAGCACAGCTGTGAGGGAAGAATTGGCTGTAATTACAGGTTGGCAGAGATGATGATCAGAGATAAGATAAGTAATGATGTAAGTCTAATCCCAGTAGCATGTACTGGTCAGCTGCCACTTTGGGAGGCAGAGGAAGAGCAGGACTCCACTGTAGTTACAGACAAATAAGTGTCCTGAAAATTGAAGCTGAAGTCATAGCATTGATTTTATTCTAGCTGCAGTAGCTTCAGGAGACATTCTCAGTAATCCTTTTAAAATTAATTACTTGCCTAATACTTCTCCTTCAGTAGTTCTGGTTGTTCTCAGACGTCCTACTTTCGTTTAAAATACATAAATAAAAGTCTGCCACTTACTGCTGCAGTTATGCCTTGAAACAAGGGTGCAATAAATGCTTGCCAGAGCTGATGCAGTGCTGAAATGTTTTTTTCAGTGTGTACCTTCCCTCTGCTGCTCACCTGTCTGTGGTGGGGTCCTAAGGGTCAGCAGCACAGCTTGCTTTCATCATCCTTTCAGCCTTATTGGAAGGATGAAGGATGATGCTGTGAAAAGCTGTGGCTTTTTGATGAAGCAAAGTGTGACAGTTCTTAGGGGAATTTAGATTAGAGTGAGTTTTTATGTATTTTCGTATCAGTACATTTTCTTCTACTTTGATTTACCAGTGTAGGACTTCTTGTATTATTTTTTGGTTTTTTAGTCTTTGAAGAGATGTGACTCCAATCCCTGCCCTGAAATGGTCAGGCTCCAGTTGCAATTAACAGAGATCTAATCAATGAACAATTAATCTAATGAAATGTGGGTGGGTTTTTGTTCCGCTGTGCTGTGCTAAAAGATGTTGTACTCTGAACTGTAAATATTGTCAAAATGTATTTGCTTTGCCTTTGAAAAAAATTAGCAAAGGTGGGACTTCTCTCTGTAGTTTTGTTCTTTGTGTGCACAGGAAGGGATGTGAGGTTTTTTAGCTTTAAAGATTTCCAGTGGTTTTCTGTTATCTCATGCTTTTCATCAGGCTGAGGGCACTGTCAGTGCTCCTGAAGGTCACTGTGCTGAGGGTCAATACTGTGGGAGGGGCTGCATCTGCTGCAGAAACTCTTGTGGCCCCATGGCATCCATGGCATCCATCCCATTTGATTCTTCTCTTAAGCATGGGATTGGATCCCTGCTTTTGGCATGTGCTTCTGGATGGGTAAAGAATACAGAAGGCATCAATAAAGCCCACCAGAGGAAATAGGAGATCTCTCAGAGCCCTTCCTGTTTTTATACAAAAATATTGCTTGATTTGAAAGGGGACAAAGTTATTTTTGTTCAGTTACCATTACATGAGTGGAATTCCTCTATTCCTTTGGATAGATGAAAAAAAAAAGTGACACTCATTTTTCTACATGGTGTGGTGTGGTATTTTTTGGCTGGTAGGAGATAGGAACAACCTGAGCAAGGACAGGACTGCCTTGGGAGTGCATGGCTGTGTTCTGCTTTTGCTGTCTGCCTGTCACGTAGGTAGGAGGTGTCAGGTGGCTGCTGTGTGCCAGGCCTGCCAGTGCTCTCAGCTGTGCCAGAGGCTGAAAGTCTTGGTTGTGTCATCTTGATCTCTTTTCTTGTCTGAGATGAGGAGCAGTGTATTGCAGTGGAGCCCTGGTCAGTGTGTATCTGTCAGTTGAGAAGATTTTGGTATCCATGCAGTGCTCCCTGCTGCTTCCTTTCTCTGTGTTTCTCTTGGACCCCCTGGGACAGCAGCAGGGTGAGGATGAGCCCATGCTCTCAGCTCAGCTGACCTCAAGAGATCTCAGTGCTGTTGAACCAAGGCCCTGCTTTTCCTTCCCCCCTCCCAGGTGTGTGCACACAGGAGCCTTCCTCCCTTCCCTCTTCACTTTCCTAGAGCTCTGGCTCCTGTCCAGCCTGACTCTATTCATTGAATTTGTTTCAGCTGGACAAGTTTTCTGCCAGGTTAGCAGGTGGAATTCACTGGGGAGATGCAGTGAGCTCCAGGGCTGGCCCAGAGTGAGGGAGGTGATTCCTGCAGAGCTTGTGCAGCTGGGGGGCTCAGGGAAGCAGAAGCTGTTCTCCCCATTTCACAGTGAGTTGTCCCTTAGCTCCATTGTGACTTGTCACATCACCAGGACTTGCTGCAGTGCCTGGGTTTGTCCTGGGTCTCACCAGGGTGCAGCCACGGGGTGGGGAGATCCTGTGAGCTCACACAAAATGGAACTCATCTTGCCTTTTGGTGGTTTTGCTGGAGAAGCAGTTTGCATCTCCTCTACCCTGACCCCAGCTGTTGGCTCGTGTCCCTGTGCTGTCCTCCTGTGAGTGGCACAGCCTTGCTGTGATTGCAGGGCACACTGGGCTGGAGCTCTGGGGCTGCTCAGTGGGGTGCACACCCCTTCCAAACCTCCTGGGAATGCACAGGAGCACCTGGTGACCCAAAGCCTTCATGGCTGGCAGGATGTGTAGCAGGCCCTGCTGCTGGTGCAGGGGAGGGCTCTGACCTGCTGTTCAGGATAAGGATTTCTTTATCCAGCATCAAATTTCTTTACCCAGCTACTCTGCACGAAGTTGCTTTGTAAAGCAAGAGTTAGGGATGATGCTTGTGGCTTCCCCTCCTCTGCACGGTAACCTCAGCCAATTTCTCTGCTTCAGAAGCTGTAACACCTCTGCCCTGCCTTGAACAAACATGGACAAGCAGGAGGGATCTTCTCACCTGTAAGGAGTGTTCCTAGGTGAATTAGACATCTCATTTCCTTCCTACATCCCCTTTATCTTAATGCACATTGTCATTATTATTGTGGTTCTTTAATTCTCCCTTGATGGGATGTGGATAACTGCAGGAAAAAACCAAACAAAAACAGATGGGAAAGCAGGACAGCTGCTGCTGAACAAAATCTGTTTAACTTTTCACTTTTGTTTTAGTCAGTCTGGGCCATCCTGCTGGGAGCCAGGCACAGGGAGATGAGGCCTCTGTCTTGTGCCTGCAGAAAATGTGCTGAGCTTTATGCAGGGCTCATGGAAAATGAGGCAGGAAAATGTGTCAGGGGATGGAGTGGGAGGGGAGCTGAGCTGCCTGCACGCCCTGAATGGGCAGCTGTGTCTTCAGGGAGCCATGCTGCACATGGGGCTGCTCTGCTGGAAGGCATTAGGAGCCACAGGAGCTTTTGTTGGCAGAAGTAGGGAAGTGGGATTAAGATGCATTTATATTGTTGGACTGGGTATAAAATCAGGGGTTTAGCACAGTAAGTTAAAAGAATAGGTCAGGCTAGGCCTGAATGGAGGGAATGGTTAAGCTGAGAATTCAGATTACCTAATGATTAAAATGGCAATATTAGACAGCAAATGTTTCATCCTACATCAGTAGGAATTTGCAGAGTCTGTTTCCTGTAAAACAGGGAGAAGTTTTTGTAGTTTATGTATTCCAGGAAACAGCATGGATTGAATGCTAAAGGAAGGCAATACATTTCAGCAAACATCCCTGCAGCCCAGTGGCTTTGAAGGTGTCATCATCCTGAGGCAGGCAGCCCTCAGTTCTCCACTCAGACCTTGAAGAGGATTTGTATCAAATAACTGGATAATCCAGGCTGGAGAAAGGGGGGCTTGTGTGCTTCAGCAGGCAAAACAAGCTGTGTTTTCACTGTCTGCTCATGGAGTGAGAAACAAACTGGGATTGAGTGTTTCTAGGCTGCTGTTTCCCCTTCCCTTTCCTGAACCTGTTGCTGCTCCCAGTTATCCTTAACTTTTTAGCCCTGGGAAAGAAAACAGCCTTAAAGAATCCTTGCAGGAAATTTAACACCTTTCTCAAGAGTTTTACAAATGGCCTCAGAGAATAAGGAATGCTGGATCTTGTCCCTCCAAGACCTGGGGCTGAGCTTTCTTCTGGCCATCCCAAAGTGCCCAGCTGGGCTGATGTGCAGTGCTGTGTTTTTGGAGGCCAGTGCAGCATCTCTGCTTGTGCCAGTGAGCACAAAGCAAGGCACTGTACCAGTGCTTTGCATGACAACACCCCTGGCACTTCTCTGGGAATGGCCCTGGGCTGCTCTGTGCCAGCAGGAACGAGCCAGATGTGGCTGCTGCAGCAGACAGGACCCCCTCAGAGCAGGCTGGAAAGAGGCAGCACGGGCAGACAGGAAGCATGAAAGGAACATGGATGAAATTTAGATTGAATTGGTAGTTAAATTAAGCAACAGAAAATGTTTCACTTTATATTTCCATCACAGTCCTGGTGTTTCAGCCAAAAAAGGCTGGCTCTGGATTCCTGCTGTGCCAGAGCATGACTGAGGCAAGCAGTCCTGGGGTGAAGCATATCCCTGCCTGGGAAGCTGCTCCAGCCTGTGTGGCTTCAGAAAGGAGCCCAGCTCTAAGGAAGTGTCCTGAGAGCAGGCACAGAGAGAACCCTGCACCTTTGGGGAAGGAGCAGCATTTCCAGCCAGCACAGCACAGATGGTGCAGGGCAGCCTCGGATCCTGCAGCCCTGGTGAGCTCCATGGGAGCTTGGGAGGAGCAGATGGAGCATGGATGGAAATGCAGAAGCACAGGCAGCAGGATGTGTTAGCAAAGCCTCTGCTAGAGCTCACCTGTGGAGACACTTCTGCCTTTGGTAAGAAATGGGTCTAAACCTGGAGGGAGTGAGAATGGTGTGAGCACAAAAGTCATCACAGGGACAGGGGCCAGTGCAGGATGCTGCAGCACTTGGGCTTTTTCTGGGTTTTAAGAGGTACCAAATTCCTGCTGAACTTTGGCTAGTACAGAAGAATGTCAGGGATCATCAGTCTCTGGTCTAGGGATGGTTGTTCAAGTTTACTTCAGGATGGAAGAGGAGTTTCCTCCAGTTCTCAGGGTAGTCCCAGACCTGCAGCTCTCCTACCCAGAGATGGCACAAAGGTGTTTGGCAGGGGCTGTTGTGGCTGTAAAGCTGTAACACCACTGCTCCCTGGCTTCTTGTTCCACTGGGCCATAGATGCTGGCTCGGGGTGGCTTTCTAGGAATTTCCACAAGGGTGTGGAGGTGATGGTGCAGGATTAGAGAGGGCTGGATGAGACTCTCCATGTACATGGAGCTGCAACAACAGAAATTGGCTATTTTTGTAATTCATGGAACACCAAAGTGCCCAGGGGAGGCTGGTGTGGGTCAGGCCCTACCCACTGCTTCTGGTAGAGCCTGTCTTCCCATCTCCTTGGATTTTTCCAGGGTTGTTTTGTGCTCTGAAACGTGCAGACCTCTTTCATTTGCTAATCAGACATTGCTGTGTGCCAACAGGTTGGAAATTAAAGTAAAATAAATGAGCCATCTTTCCATCCAGGCCTGCATCTGGAAGGAAGAATTTCAGCAATGGAATCACTGGAGTAAACCTCGCTCTTCCAGGCTGGCTTCAGATGTTAGCAAAGCATTCAGTCTTTGGTGTCTTTTGCCAACCTTCTTCTTCTGTAGATTCTCTGTTAAACATGAAAAATGAATTATGGTTTTTCCAAAAAATGGATGTTTGAAGGCGATCCCAGATCATATGTTTTAAGATTAAAATCCACTGAGCCCCCAGAAGTGGTAATCCCTGAAAAGACAGGGTGTGGGTCTGTCTGCAAACAGAAGAGGTTTCTTCTGTGATTTGATAGCAGAGGAGGAACTGAGAATTACCAGATTTATGGAAAAAGGAAAATTATGTGGGCTGATGAACTTGGGTTTGGGGCTTTTATTGCTATTTGGCCTGCTACCCTGATGATTAATGCAGCATAGTGAGCTTCCTTCTGAGCCTGAGCTCATGCTGCATGTGTTTGTCTCACCAAAACAGTGGTGGTTGCTATGAAATCCCCAAACAGCCTTGTCAGTGATTGTGTTCTGAGCCCTTTGCTATGAGAGTTGCCTGCAGTGATATGAAAAGGCTTTTTATGCAGAAATCAAGACACAATGATGCATTTTGAATGCTCCTCCCAGACTTCTGAAAACAGACCTTACAAACACTTGCCCCTCCTTCTGCCTGTGGTGCAGGTCTCCAGCAGGTGTTGGGCAATGTTTAATATTTGTTATTATTAATGTTTAATACATCTCCTTGCTTTTGAGCCTCTTGACTGCCTAAAAATCCTGATGCCTTTATTAGCTTTGGCCCTATATAGCAGAGGGAGGTGAAATGAGGGGTGGTGACTCTGCATTGAGGGGACTCCTTGGCAGCTCAGGCTGCTGTCCTTTGCCAGGGCTTGTGCTGCTGCTGCTTCTGTATTGCCCAGCCCTGTCAGGCCCTGATCTCCAGAGCCTCTCCCATGGCTCATCAGCAATTTCTCATCTGACAGCAAAGGGTTTCTATTCCTGCCCACCTCCCTTGGTTGCTTCAGCTCTGCCCCATCACCCTGCCCTTTCTCTGGCCCTCTAGAGCAGCCTGCACTTCAGTCTGACCATGTGGCATTAACCCTTCAGTGAGGTATTTTAGTGGCCCTTGTGTAGAAACCAGCAAATGGTCTGGAGCTGAGGCAGGGGCAGGACAGGTTCCTTTGGGGCTGTGCTGGTCAGTGTTCCATAAAGATGTGGATCATGAAAGGCTCCATTGCAGCCTGAGCACCCACAGAGGCTCTGGGTGTGATGAAAGTTTCTGCCTGGTCACCTTTTAGTGATTGGAAAAGAGAGAAACTCTTGTGTGGGGCAAGAAGCATTTCTCCACGTGGCTCATTACTCACCAAGTGTACCCTCTATGTGTTGTTCTCCTCCTGTGTCTCATTTCCCAGATGTTTAGCCCTTGTTTGTCCCCCTGCAGACCCAGCTGATCCAGATGGTGATCTGGATGCTGCAGCACCGCCTCCTGATCCAGCTGCACACCTACGTGTGCCTCATGGTGCCCCCGAACGAGGAGGAGCTCCGAGCCCAGGATGAGGACATGCCCTTCACTGCCAGGGTTGGGGGACGAAGTTTGAGCACCCCCAACGCTCTCAGCTTCGGCTCTCCAAGTATGAGCACACTTTTCTCTGCTCTTCAGACTCCACCTCACTTCTAGAGCTTCTCTTAATGCTGCCAAGGGCCATCAGGCCTTGGTAATGAGCCATCTCCTCTTGCTGCAGTACTTGCTAATTAGGTCCAGCCTTTCCTAAATTTAGAGCTGGGCACTGGTGAAAGTCCTAGAGGCTATTAGACTTCTTTTTAGAAAGAAATAATGCTTTGTAATTCGCCAAATTCTCATTTGGTCATGTAAAAGATTTTTATGAGAGGTACTTCTCTGTTTGCAATATTAACTTTGTCCTCCCTTGCTGCACTCAGAAGTATCCCCTGTGTTCCTCTGGCAGATTTTGGTTTTCAGGACAGAAAGAAAATGTGAGAATTTATTCAAGCAGCATTGGTTTCTGTGGGCTGTAGAACCATTAGTGCCACTTGAGGAGACACAGAGCTGGCTTTTTTTCTCACAAATGGTTGACTTCTCTTTATGTCTCCTGATTTCTTTAATATCCCCAGTGCCATTCCTCAGGGTGATTCCAGGAAAGCATTCTTTCAAGAAGATGAGTCAGATAGGATGCTGAAATCACCAGACTTTCCTGCCTATGCTGTTCTGAGCAGCCTTCTCAGAACAGCACTGGGCTTGGATTTGGGGAGAGGTCCTCTGTACAGCTCTGAGCTTTACAGGAGTCATGAATTAGGGCAGAAATCTTGGAACATGAGTCAGATGAGTCTGTGATCTGCTTTTTCTGGCTCCCTCACAAGAGGATATTGCTTCTTGGCCTCTGCCTTCTCCCACCTTCTGTGCTGTTAGGATTTTTGTGTTACCACTTCACGGTATTCCAGCACAGCTGTCTGGGAATTCTCTTTTCAAATGTTTTTTATGGACTGTTTATAGTCTCCAGAAGTACAGTTTTCCACACAAATTGATGACTCTGTTGAAGCATTTGAATTTCCCATTGAGAAAATCGCTGTGTTGTCATATGACTAATTGCAGATTCATGGAGCACTTGGAGAGCCACTTTCTCTGCTCTCCAGAGAAGAGGGATTAGTTGGAAAGGCTGCACAGAAACAGCCTGAATCGATAAACTTTGCATCCTTATGCTGAGGAGTATAAAAATGTAATGTGTATGTGTGTCTCTCTTGCCTTGATAGCCAGTAGTGATGACATGACTCTGACAAGCCCTAGCATGGATAATTCCAGTGCTGAGTTGATACCTGGTGGGGACTCACCCCTAAATAAGAGGATGACAGAGAATCTCCTGGCAAGCCTGTTGGAACATGAGAGGGAGGCCATCCTGAATGTCCCAGCTGCCCAGAACCCAGAAGATCTCCGCATGTTTGCAAGGTGAGCAGTGCAGGATGCAATCCTTGTTTCTTATCCTCCCTGCTTTATGGAAGGATTGGTGTGGAGTCTGAGCAAATCCTGTTAGCCTGGGGAGTTGGAGGAGAAATTCTTTTGGGTTTGCTCCTGTATTTCATCTCTAATACAAACTAATACTTGTGGCACACTGCACTTGGTAACAGAGCCCTGGACATGTGTAGGACTGTCAGGGTGTATGGCTGGACTTCAGTGCCACTTTTCCTGTGTCCATACCTGACAGACACAAAACTGCACAGCCTAAAAAGCCATTGTAAGCAGGCAAGGCAGAGGTCCAGTGGTGCTGATGCTGCCGTGTTGTGACCATCAGTATTTCCAAGTCAGCTCTCCTTAATTTTATGGTTTATAAACTCCATGGAAACATGAGACACAGAGGCAGCCTGAATACTTCTACAGAGTGTCCCAAGGTGTGTTTGGCAGTGATGAGAGCTCACTGCTTAGGTTAGTTAAGCTAAAGGCATTATTAGGATGTGTGATCAGTAGCACACAATCTGTTGTTAAAAATTTGCACTCAACAAACCCAGGCACTATGTGGTTCTTCATGTGGTTAAAGCAGCCATCTGGGAAGAAGTGTGGGGGGCGGAAACACTTTTTCTTCTGGAGGATTTCAAAACTCAGTGGCATCACTGGAATGCAACTTTCACTGTTTTTCATACTTGTGGAGCAGAAAACCACCTGAGGCAGGGACTGCAGCTGTTCCATATTCTGGATTCAGTTGGTAATCCCCTGAAAACCTGGTTCTTGCCCTAGGATGGATACAGGCAGGTAGCCCAGGGAAATTGTAATAGCAGGAAGATGCTTTCCTTGTCTGTAGCAGAGTACAGCTCAGGGACTTGGACAGAGCTCTCAAAGCTTGTGGGTAGTTACTGCTCTCTGAATTATTTGTCTCCTTCATCTTCTGCAACTCTTCAGAGAATATACTCTGACTGGGAGGCAACACTGGCCACTTGAGAACTCTGAAGTGTTTTTTTCTTTATTACCAGCTAAGTCATTACAAAACCACTGAGGAAGGAAAGTAACAATAAAATAATATTTAGTAGCTTAAGACAGAATTTGTGAGGGACTCCTTGGACCAGTTCAGTGGCAATGCAGATTCTTAGTTATCCTAGTGAGAGGAAAGGATGTCGTGATTGCTCCCCTCTCATACCCTCAGCTGGGTAAAAGAGCCATTTGGAAGCTTTGGAATTGCAGATGCAAGAAATGACTCTGATTTCTTTGTGAAACTAGCTGAGTGATGTTTATTGTGCAGTTTGCTTCTGCCCCAGGTTCTTTTGCAGATCCCCAGGCCTTACTAGGTCAGAATTTCCAGTCTAGTACAGATTGAATTGCCAAGTGCAGAGTGCTCTGAGGCAACAGTGAGGAACAGAGGAACAAACAGATTAAACAATAAATAAACAATAAACAGATGGGTCCTGTGGGCACACTTAAGAATGTTCATGACAGACCCTCTTGGTTACTGCTGGTTTTATGAGACACCACAGTTTGTAGGTTGTGGTGTATTTTGTCTCTTTTTGTGTCACAACCATCAGAGATGAGTAAATCTGTTGCTCTCAGTGAAAGAGAGAAAACCATGGTGAGGTGCCTGAAGGAGCTGATCTCCCTTGTTGTCCTCATGCAGGATCTGCTCCAGCCCTGGCCAACAGCTCTGCTCTCACAGCTGCCTCCAGAGCAAAGTGCTAGAAATGCACAACTGGTGTCCTGAATATCCTGTGCTATTTGCCCTTGCCAGGATGCTGTGTGTGCACACAGAGGGATGGGCTATTTCCAGCACAGCAATAAAGCTCAGCCTGGCACATTTTCCTGTGCTGGTGCCTCTGAGTGCCTGTCCTTTGTTACACAGACAGCACAGAGTGCTGGTGCCTGCTCCAGGGCTGTGCACAGCCCGTGCTTGAAGGCAGAAACCTTAAGGGGAATTAAGGAATTATTAAAGCTTGGCTCCAGCATTGGCTGCATTAACCCTCATAACATTGAATGGGAATTGAAATCCAAGTTCTTTCCTAAGGTGCAACTAAAGGAGGGTTGGCATGTCCTTCCAGGAGTAAGCTTGAGAAGGAGACAAGTTCTTCTTGAGCTAGATCCCCAGTAATGTACACAAATCCTTCCTCACTGCACGTTAAGCAGTGCTTTTGAAGCCTGAAGAAGCTGGAGGCTTCACTCATGGCTTCTCTCCCAAGCCGTGGGTGTGGAGTTGCTTTCAGGGTTTGTCTTGCTCTGAGATTGGGAGGTGAGATCCTTCCCTCCACTGAGGAATGCTCATTGGCAGCACTGAGCTGTGGACAGTTCTGCTCTGGTTTCAAGCAGTGCTGTGGCAGGGACATCTCCTTGGCCAGAAATAAGCGAATTCTGTTTGAATTGCTAGTCTGAGAGAATTCTTTTCTTTTTAATGTGTAGGAACACTCCAGTGCTGTTAGGGGAACAGCTTTTGAAACTTGAGGAGGGGAAAACAGTGATGAGCAATGGAAAGCAGTAATCTTCCATCTCTGCATCTGGATGTGCACACCTGTCAGCAGACACACCTGTGCAGCTTCAGAGGGACTCAAACACAGTGTTAGTGCCCCAAGAAGTGCCCATTTCATGCTGATTGTGGCCCACAAAGGTGAAGGCAGTGCCCACCTTCTCTGGAACTGTGAGCCCCAAGGATAGCCTTGTAGATTCTAGTTGGACTTTTGGGAAAACCTCCTCCCCAGGAGGGTGGTGCAGCCCAGGACAGATTGCCTGATGTGGAGGGATCTCCATCCTGGAAGGGTTTGAAAAAGCTCCACAGCATTAGCAATAGTCCTGCTGGAGCAGGATGCTGGGCTAGGCTTTGGGGGTGTCTTCCAGCTGACATTTTTGTGATATTCTTTAATATCCTCTCTAGCTTTTATTGGAGTGGAAAGTATTTAGTCTTGACCAGTTACAAATCCAGACTCTTTCTGAATATAAGATGGATGTATTTATTGGCAAACTGCTCAGTCTGTGCTGCTGTGGAAAGCCAGGTTGTACTATTTGCATGGAAGAGAGCTGAGCCAGGGTATGAGCACATGGGCACATGGGCACAATGCCTCTCTCCTGGCATAGGGGAGAGAATCCCCAAAATCACTTTGTGAACTGTGAGATGAGTTGTAAAATAGAAATGTTTCTGTTCATACCTGTGGGAACAGTCTGGTTTTGATACACCCAAGGACTGACACTGTCCCTGTGAGTGACCACTTCTGAGTGCACAGTTGCCATTGGCCCAGGGGAAGTGGCCAATGAGCCTCATGTCAGTACCTGGTGGGAGACAGTGCAAAAGGCACAGCCCAGATGTGGGAAGGACTGGAGCTTGTCTCTGTGCTGCAGGTACAGAGAGGCAGCAGTTCTGTTCTCCATACTGGTGCCAGCTTGAGAGCTGGCAGAGGAGCAGGAGGGAGCTGGCAGCCAGCTGGGGCTGCCCAGCCTCAGGCTGCCAGGGAGGATCCTGCTCTGACAGAGCTCATGGGGGAGAGGAGGGATGTGGCAAGTTGGGAAACAGACACACATGTGGCACTGGGCTAGAGGTGAAAACTCTGCAGTGGGGCATGGGATGGAGGGACACTTGTTGCATGGTGACTCCTTTCCAGTCACCTGTGAGGGTGGTGGGTGACAGAAGTGCCCAGCCTGAGCAGCAGGAGGCAGCCAGGCAATTGTGGCAGGAGCCACTACATCCTCCAAAACAGGCCAGAGTGCTCCAGTGGATATTGAGTATACTTTGAGGGCAGTTCCTGCATGGGGCTGTAAGAATGGAAAACAGATCATGTCATCTCCACTCATTTTTACAGTCAGTTGGCATGAAGCTGCAGATGGGTAATGGAACATGAGCAAAGGCTGTGCCCAGAGTGTGATGTGGAACACGTGGAGGCACAGCTGGCTGTGGAGCTGGGAAGGGACTCTGGCCTTTGGGCCTTCACAGGGTGGGGAGTACTAGAGTCACACGTGCAGCATGGCTGTGACATTTGGGAGGGTGTTGAGACAAGAGACTGAGCAGCAAACTCAGGCTTCATGTGGGGGCTGCTTTGGTGTTATGGCTCAGAGGGAACTCTGGGGAGGGGCCCATAGCTGTGACTGACTGTGCAGGGCCAAGGTTTTCTGATGGCTGTGGCATGTTGGTGGCCAGCAAAGGGCTATCTGTGCTTTGTTTAAAGAGAATAGGGAATTTAAGAAGCCAGCATGATTTGAGCTTGGGCTTAGGGGGATTTATAACTCCTACAGCTCCTACAGCTTCTCTGTGGTGCCTACCACTAAAATTTCCATCTCCCTGTTGCGAGTGTTCCACCCAACCCAAGCTGCCCAAACCCTGAATGCAGGACTTGTAGTTACAAAGCCCCTTGGGCTGCTATGAGGGAAAATTGCTCTTAATTCTAAAAGGCAGTGCAGGTACCCAGGCCCCTGATGCAGAGCTGTGACAAAGGACAGTTGTAGGTTTAGCTAAAAGAGCACAGAATAAATCTGCCATGTCCTGACTTCTCAAGGCTCTTTTGTTTGTTCACTTTCTGGAATTATAACTAAGTTGAAAATGGACAGTCTTGGGAAATGCCCCAAACTGGGAAACCTCTTGATCCAAGGAGAACCTTGGCAAAGCCCCACAGTGGGAGAGTCCCACCCTTTTCCAGGAGATTTCTGTGCTAGGCATGATTTAATTTCCCTTTTTATGCAAATGAGGGACATAACTCAAACAACCTTCTGCTTTGCATCCCATGGGAGAGGAGACCTTGGGGGTGGCAGTGTGAGTCTGAGCTGCTTTTGACCCACGTGCTCCCTGCTCTGCTCCCCGCAGGCTGCTGCACTACTTCCGAGGCCGGCACCACTTGGAGGAGATCATGTACAACGAGAACATGCGGCGCTCCCAGCTGCTGATGCTGTTTGACAAGTTCCGCAGCGTGCTGGTGGTCACCAGCCACGAGGACCCCGTCATCTCAGTGTTCCAGTCGCTCCTCAAGTGACTCTGCTGGCACAGAGGGAGGAGCCTGCCACGCTCTCCATGCTGGGTCTAAAGGATGCCTAAAATCTGAAGGAGGTCATTTCAGTTCTCCTCCTCGCCACGTGACGGCTGCAGGTTGTCCCTGTCCGTCCGTGCCTCGATGTCCCCGCTGTCCCCAAGGCTCCAGGGCCTGCTGCAGGACCGCACGTGCTTGCTCAGCCTGGATTGCTCCCCTGCCACATTCACAGCCCTTCCCTGGCCCTGCTGCTCCCCAGGGATTGTCACAGTGGGACAAGAGGGTTCTGCTTTGGCACTGCTGGCAGAAGGTCACCTTTGGGGAGACGCCGGTGCCCTGGGAGTGCTTCCTGTGACCTCCAGCATGACTGCTGGGACACCCAGCCATGAGAGCCTGTCCCCATGGCACAGCATGCATGGCCTTGCTCCAGGGCAAGGGGAACTGGCCTGGCTCCTAGGGAAATGACCCTGGACACCCAGGAATTCTGTTTGATCTCACAGCTGTGAGGACAGAGGTGGGAAGGCAAAGGATCACAAGTAAACATGAAATCATGAATGAATGACTCAATCACTGTGTCACAGCTCTTTCCTCACCCCAGTATCCTTATTCCCAAGTGTCTATAGGAGCAGGGCTGTCACCAAGCAGCCTCTGTGTTCCTGGGTTTCCATGTTTCCCAGTTGGTGCCTGGGGGTGGCAGCTTGGTTGTTGAACAGGACTGAAAGGCGCTGGCCAAGCTGTAAGTGCAGGGACATGTTCCAGCACTCAGGTTTGTCCCCCAGGCCTTGTTTTGTCCCTCCAGTCCCCCTCCCACAAGCATGGCTGTGGCTGCAGGGAACCAGACAGGGAACCTGGCCTGGGTTAAACTATCCAACAGGAAAATGAGATACAGGTCTGCATTTCCTGCTCTGGTTTGCAACTGCTCCTCCAGCCATGCCAGGGCCAGAACAAGAGGTGACAGCCCTGGGACATGCCAGGGCTTGGGGACAGCTCACCCCTGCCTGTGTGAGGCCACTGTCCCCCACAGCTGCTCACTGCTCTGTGCTGCATACCCAGGGAAAGGGAACTTTACCTCCATGGTGGTGTGGCTTCTCGGGGTTTGTTGTTAAAGGATTGTCAGGTGCCCTGTGAAGACCTTCCCTTCCACCACACACGGCAGATGGAGCTTTTCCCAGCAGGCTCTCAGGAGCAGCTTCACTTCCCCACACAGATTGGGTGAGACTGGCAGCTTTAGCTGACTTAGCTGCCAGCACCCACTGGGGGAGCTGCTCCAGGACAGCTTCTTGGGGTCCCTTCAGGCAGTCTGGCCCTGCAGCTGCAACAGGGATGCTAGAGAACAGCAAAAACCCTACCTGACCTAAAGATCAGATCAACATCGCTGTAAGCCCTGTCTCAACCAGCCCCAGCACCTGAGCATTAAGGTGAGCTACTGCAATCAGAAAAAAAATGCTGCCCAGAAGGGACTAAACCAAATTCTTTCGTGGGATGGGGGACAAGAGTATTTAAAAACTTTTATTTTATGGGAACCTGAAGGTGGGGGTGAAGGTGGGAGGTGTGTCCCTGTCACCCACGCAGTGTGGCTGCAGTCCTGCAGGTCCTGCCCTGAATCCTAAAGGTTTTTCCTCCCTGTACCTCAAGTCAGGCTGCTGCACCAGTGATTTCTCTGTGTGGGGGTTCACATAGTGCTAAGTTCTGAACTGGTTTCAAAAGCAGCTGGGAAAAAGAACAAAACCCATTCTTGTTCTCCAAGCTGGACATTAGAGATAGGTAGAGGCTTGAGGGGGTCTCTGCTCAAAGAAAGGTGTTAGCTCAGTCACTCAGGACCCTGTCTGTGGAGGTGTGAATGGCCCACAGCTTCTCTGGGGCTCTGTTCCAGTGTTTGAGCACCCTCATGGGGAAGATTTTTTCCACAGCGCTAATGAGAACTTCCTGTTTTCCAGCTGGTGGCACACTGCCTCTCATCCTGTCTGACAGCAGCCTGGCTCTGTGTCTTGTCTATCCCCTCTCCCCTGAGGTAGCTGCAGCCAACAGTGAGATCCTCCCTTTACATCCTTCTCTCCCAGCTCCCATCCTTTCAGTCTGCTCTGCTGCCACCCCATTTTTTGACTATTTCTCTGCAGCAACCAAGCACTGGCCTCTGCTGGGGGCTGAAGTGATGGGAGCAGCCCAGAGCTGTGACCCTTCTCCTCTCACCCACCCTAATTAAGCCTGGATCTGTTGGCAAGGGAGAAAATGGCCTTCAGTCCAAAGTGTCCAAAACCAGCCTCAGTTCATGCCAGTTTCCTGCAAATAAAGTTCCACCTTGCCCCATTCATTGTGACACAGTACATTTATTGTTAAAAATCCCCCAATCCCCCAACCTGCCATGATGCAGCCTGAGGCCATTGTACAGAGCACAGCTCAAGTCCTGGTCCCGGGGACACTTGCAAGACTTGTCAGCTGCCAGGGGAGTGTCCCCTTGCTGCCATCTCTCTCTCCATTTTCTTGTCTACAACACTCACAAATCTGTTTCCTCGCAGATAAAACCTGAGTGGTTTCTGTGCCCACTCTCCCCTGTTGCCAATGCCAATCCTGGTGGTGGCCACCACGTCCTGCTCCCCTGGCAGGTCCTGTCCAGGCACCATCCAGATGGCAGCGTCCTGAGTCAGGTCCCTTTGGTCAAAAGCCTTGTCGATGCCAAATGCCTGGCAGAGCTTGGAGGGGCCATTGCAGAGCTGCCAGTCCTTGAGCAGCCTGGTGGGTGCTTTCCTGGAGGCCCCACGCAGCTCCCTCATGGCATCCAAGCCCTGCAGAGGTTCCAAGGAACGCAGCAGCACTGCAGCCCCTTCTCCTGTGCACAACAAGAGCTGGGTGTTAGTAGGGGGTTGTTTTTTGGGAGTGCCTCACCTTTCAGCCTGTGCCAGCAGCGTTTCAGCTCTGAGCCTGTGGCTCAGCCCGATGGAAGAGGGAATGCACCCAAGCATGGCGTCTGTCCTTTGCTCCAAGGGCACTCCCTTCCCTCCCCCAAGTCTCCAGTGTCCTGTAGCTCTGTGCCCTTCATTCTGCAGTGCTGACTTGCTCTTCCCAGCTCCACCTGATGTTGCTAAGTCTGGCTGCTGCTCCAAGGCTTGCCAGAGGGCAAGAGCTTTTTCTTATGTCAGCACAATGTTCAGAATAAACATACATCTGGTTCAGTTTTGGCAGAGGTATCCAAAGCTGCTCCCAAACCCAGTGGATTTCTAATAAACTCTGATTACAAGAACTGCAGCTAACAAAGGCGAGGAGGAATGAGGCTGGATGCTGCCAGCAGAAAGAGGCATCTTGCAGAGTGAGGCTGGACAATGAGAAACCTGGGAAGGAGCTGCATGCATTGGGAGCAGACACTGCTGAGGGAGCCTGGGCTGGTACCAATCCAAACTCTCTCTGGAGATGTAACAGGTGGGATGAGCATGGCCTTGGGTCGCTGCACAGCTCCAACAATGTGATTTGGACACATGTGCCACGGAAGCTTTCCCAAGGCAGGGACCTGTGTCAGGACAGGGCTGCACAGTCTGGCTGTGGGATGCATAGCCCTGGGAGCAGCACGTAGCAGAGGAGACCCTTCTATGACAAAAACTGAACAAAACTGACAAATTCTTTTCTCAAATGTGATTTGCCACCCCGTCAGAAGCCTTACGTCTCCTGCTATCCCAGCTGTTGCAGACAGCGAAGCAAAGATGCAGCTCTGAACAGACATTCCCTGTCAGACAAGGATCTCCAGCCTGGTATTTTCCAGTGGCCAGCAGGGAGGTCTTCTGGCCCTGAGTGGGTGAGGAGAGCACTGGCACAGGGCCTGTGTGCAGCCCCACACAGCTCCCCCTGTGCTGGCCGCCCCCGGCTTTCCTCCCGCCAGCATCCTCAAGAATCCCTGCTCCCTCTCCAGCCTTGAACATCTGGAGCCATGCTCATGCCTGGCAAAGGCTTTTTGTGTAGGCACTGGCAGATCCCTAAGGACCTGTGATTTCCCAAAATAGAATCCCTCTCATATTTTGTACAAATCCCACAGTAAATTACCCCTCTGGGCTCCCAGTGAGGTCCTGGCTCTCTGAGGTGTGCCTGCTGCCCTGAACCATCTCAGAGCCCCTGCTGCCCCCACTACAGCTCGGTGAAGTCAACAGCCTGAATTCCAACAGCTGTCAGCAATCTGTTCCCAGGCACTCCCTTCTCCAAGGAGGGGGATTGATGCTAATCTGGCAGCCAAAAGCCGATTCCCTGGCCTAACAGTGATTTAGAGCTCAAAGGTCATTTTAGATTTTTAAGAACATGTTCCATGTCCTAATTCTGCTTTTTATCGATGCACAAAGAAACATCCTTCTCATCCTGTTGCTGCCTCCCCTGCCAGGAACAACTGTGGGATTCTGAGCAGTCAGTAATTACACTGCTTGCTTTCATCCATCTCAAATGCAAGTGCAAACTGTGGTCAGTTGGGAGTCCTTGGGAGTGCACATGAAGAGACAAGCACTTGGAAAACTGCAGGTGCTCCCAGAGCAGCACAGAGCCCAGCCAGGGGGCACGGGGCATTTCTGTCTCTGGCTGCTCTTTCTGCATTTCCAGCTGGTTCTTTCTAGCTGTGTGCAACACACATCCCACTCTGCCCAGAAAGTAGCCTTGGGAAGAGGTGGAGACAGCAAGCAGGACAAGAGTGCAGGGATACCATGATGAGATACTGCCTTCTTCCCCTCACACCTCTGGGTCCTCCTGAGCAAACTTCCACATGAGAAATTTAATTTTAATTCCCAAAGAGTAGCTGAATCCTTTTGGCTCAACTCCAGAGTGCTTCAGCCTGGCTTCCTCCCCCTCCCAGCCTGCAGCAGTTCACTCTCAAGGGTCACCTGGGTTCAGCATCTGCCCAATGTGCACACACCAGCAGCAGCAGGGCCAGCTGGGGATGCTGAGGATTTATCTCCCCTAAGAGTCACTCCATATAATGAGCAGCATTCAGGACTAAAAGCTGGGATCTAACGACACTGCAGAGGCCAATTCTCTCCCTGAGCAGCTAGAAATCATAACATGGCAGTGGAGTCCCACACCCCCATGGCACAGCTTCCTGCTCCTTCCCCAAAACAGCTTCAGCTCCCAGGCTGGAAACAGCTCTTGGCCACTGGAGAGAAGGGAATTTTCTCCTCCATTCACCCACCTGACTCAGTGCTCCCCAATACTTCCTTCAAATCTTAGTCTAGGAGCTGAAAGTTAGGGAGAAGTCCCTGCAGTGTAACCCTGGGCTGAGCATTACCAGGCTCTTGATTTTACAAGCTATTCTTTCAGATCCAGCAGCAAAATACAGACCTTGGCAAATTCCAGAGAAATAGATCACAGCTAAGTTAAAGAGAAGCATGACTGGCATTTATCCTCTTCCTGAAACAAGGGAAGCCCCATATCTCTTACTCTAGGGAAAGCTCTTAGTACTGAGATCATTGTGCTGCTCAGGATCTAGGATTTATGCACAGTAAGACTTTGGTTATATTTTTTCTATAACCTCTTTTTCTCTACCACCCACGATTTCTCCAAATGTAGTGATGCCTGCCATGGCTTCAGGCAGCTGCAGTATTTCACTCAGTGGTGGGAAGACCTCTCACAGTAAAGTTCCCCATGATGTAGTTTTATCTCAGTGATGTGCACAAAGATTTCCCCTTCCTCACTGCAGAGGAATACTGGAGCCTGAGCCCCAGCATAAACCAATACACAGAGAAGGTTTATTCCACCTGGAGTAAGAGGCTGTGAGCTTTTGTATTAAAACAAGTGATCTGCAAAGAATCAGAGCATACACTTGTCTCGTGGAGCTGTTTGCCTACAGAGCATGTTCTGTGCTATGAAGGACCAAACTATGCCACAAGAGATGGGACTTTTTTTTGCCAGTTTCTCTTTTCATAGTTTTTTTCATAGCCAGAGTCAAAATAAAGTTTCCAAGATCTAACCCATATCCAGAGAATGAAATGCTTTTGCCTTCTACCCAGGTGTCACCATGAAGATGACTCCCTCAATCCTTCCCTCAGACTAAATGACAGCACAAACAACTCCTTCTTCCTCTAACTGGAGAAAAACATCTTGGCTGTGATTCCTCCCCAAATTCTTTCAACACTCTTGTACATGGGCAAATACACAGGAGCAGCTCCTGTTTTGGAGCTGCATCAGTGCACAGCCATGGTACTGACTGCAGTGCTCTGACAAAGCTGGCAGTGACAGCTCTGCCTGGTGTCCCTCATGTGTGACAGGATGATGGGGAGGGAGTTTGTAACAAAAATCCAATTAATTCCATCACCACAGGGAGCCCTTTAACTGCTTTGCTACAAAACTAAACACAGGTATATAAGGAAACATTTCCCAAAGTGTGTATTTCAAAGAAATATTTCTAGAATTCAAAGGCTAAACATATTTTTTTAAATAAAAAGTATTATTCTCAATATTTCAAACACCAAGAATCCCATCCTGACAAATGAACTATGTGCTTTTATTATGTGAACAGATTTGGCAGAGCCAATGTAATGAAGTTCACATGTGTTCATCCAGACTCCAGACCCCCATTTCAAAGTCAGGCTCTTCCCCCACACTATAACCTGGCACTGTTTTTCTGCTTGGCTTCTGTCCAAAGGCCAAAACCTGAGCATTAATGGTCACAGTTACATTTGCTTTCCACTTAGGAATACACAAACTTTTTAACCTTTATCTTAAAAATGGTGAAGAAGAATGTAAAGTGGATTTGAGGTTTTTTCTAACAGTGAGTAGTTACCTAGGAAACTTGCTGCCATTTCAAGGTGTCTAATTAAACAACTGCTTCATTGTAAGGCAAATATTGTCATTCTTACAGGAAAGGAAAAGAAGAAAGTTTTCAGTAACACTTGCTTGTTAAGAATCTTGAAATATGGAAGGACAGTTTCAGTAAACTCCAGAATAATTTAATTAGAGCTTGATTATTTTTTCTTGAGAATAATAAAAGAAGATTGAAAATTCTGTAACAGTCTGGGTATTTTGATTTGGACGGGATTTTTTTGGCCTTTAGATACAGCTAGACAGCTAAAATGCTCCTACTGACTCCTTGCTTAAGCTTAGGACATCTCAGATGTTTTGTGTTCCTCAACATTTCATTCAGCCTCTGAAGATAAAGGTAGGAGACAGAGGAGTTTCCTGCCACGGCAACAGATACCAGGATTTAGGCTGTCATTAATGACTTCTAATGAATTTTTCTCTACATCACCACTTTTGAAGAACAAGGTTCACTGAATCACATGACCGAGGCAGCAGCCCAGGTCATTGAAACTAAAAGCTCCATCCTATCCAGATTCTCCCTCATTTCTCAATCTTTGTGTGCCTGAACAGCTCCCACAGCTCCCAGCTGGGACAAACTGGGCAACTGGAGATGGGCCCTGCCTGCTGTGCTGCCTGTCCACAGGTCCACCCTGGTCACAGTGGCAAAGGCCAGGTCCCAAGGGACAATGATGACAGCAAGTCACTGGCATCAGAGAGCCCACAGGGAGCTCACAAATGACTTGCAGCACCACTGTAGCTTTTAGTGTCAGCCCCATGCTGCTGGCATTCCATCTCTTTCAGCCCCAGCTTACCTTGGCTGGAAACATTCATGCAGAAATAAATCCCATAGATCTGATACACGTACAGAGTTCCTGGTTTCATGAACATTGCTGCGTTTCGTTGTGTTTGCTTCCCACCTTTGGAGTGGGAAGCTTCATCTTCCCCACCCAGATAAGCTTCTGTTTCAACAATCCTGCCCCAGAGCTCTCTGCCATCAGGAAGTTTGCGAACTAAAATCTGAAAGAGAGGTCAGAGTGCATCAGTTACCAGCCCTCAGTACAAAATAACCACAGCAAGAGCTGTGGAAACAGAGAAACTGGAAAGAAAGGACCTGATGGTACTAAATCCTCTCCAGTTTGCAGTCTGTAAGCTAACACCAACTTTTTCAGCTTCCACTGCTCAGGCCACAGCCCAGTACAAGGAGTTCCTACCTGTCACTCACCCCACAAAACGCCTGGAGTGTCTAGATGAAGCAGTATTAAAAAGAATCAATTTATGATCCTACAACTACTAAAGCCCACGGAGTTGCTCTTGTGGTTATTTTCTGTATTCTCCACTCCAATCCATCAGGTTTAAGGCAAAAATCACTGCTGATATCAACCTTGAAGCATCATGAATGTATAATCTTTAGATCAGAAGAAATATGACAGTGGCACAATTAAATAACTGCTATGATTAGACAGTTTCTCTCCCTAGAGATGTTTCAAACAAGTCCCAGTCCCAAATCACAGAGATAATCAGCTCTAGAGAGAGCATCAATGCTATTTCAGTATTTTCTGCACCACAGAGAAGGGCAGTGTGGGAGAGCTGGGAATTGGCTTCAGGCAGACAACAACAGATCTTTGTTATTACAGTGTGTTCTTGCTGCTGGTACCTCCTTAAATAAAACAAAGCAGATGCAGGGGAAACAAAACATGCCAGTCAAAAAATTTTCTTTAAAAATAAAACAACAACTAAACTTTTTACAAAGGAATTTGTGGTTTGACCTGATTTCTAAACTTTGTGCTTTACTTAATGTGTATGAAATACTGCAGCAGGGTCTTGTTTGGGCACCAGCTATCAGTTTAATTATAACACTTTAATTATGCAGCTGTTCAAAAATGACCTTCAGAAAACGAAGTTTAATTCCTAACAGATGTTTGTGCTGGATTGCTAATGCAGCAATCCAATTGATCTGATCCATAATGGATGCTGCAGGAGTTGGTTTCCAAAGCTGCAGCTCTGGTATATCAGTTTCCCTACAGCTCTTGTCAAATGGTTGAAAATAATCTGTTTCTTATTTTTATATAAAAAAAAAAAAAAAGCACTGGTGTTCAGCAAGTGGCTGGAAACACCCCAAAACCAGACCCATGTGGCCACATTTCTCCCTCAGCATGATGAAATGCAATGGTTAGGTTATGGGTTTAAAAGAATCCAGGCATTTCCCTGTCTTCAGACACACCAAATATTCTGTTGGATAAAAAAATTTAAAAATTGTGGTAATCCCCAACACCTCACAGTAAGTCACTTCATAAAGGTTATTTTTTTCATTGAGGATGTATCTTGATGTTATAGCAGTTCCCTCTGAAAGGCCATTTACTGCAATGTATCTTTTTTGTTTCCAAAAAGTCAGGTATCATGAAGATAAGTAATACTTATATATCAGATGTCTCCAAAATTTGGTAGAATAAAGGTAATGAAGCAAACACTAAGATACCTTTATGAGAGAACAGGCTGAGCCATGGGAGACTGAGGGTTATACTTTAAAAGAAAATGTAAAATTAAGACAGCAATCATGTGGTTTGGAATACTAGGCCTAAATAGGAAAAATACACAATTAGGACTCAAGAATCCTCTGCCCAGAGTAACTGAATGTATGAACATGATGGAGCCATTAAGACAAAAATGTATCAGTAATGGGAGACTTCAGGCATCCTCAAATAGACCAGGACATGTGCAATGCTTTCTTAGACACCATCAAATGCTGTGCAGAGTGAGGAATCAGGAAGCTCATGAGGAAAGACTCAGTTCTTAGATCTGGAGCAAAACACAAAGTCTTTTCCAAAGACTTATTCCTGAAAAACAACTTAGTATCATGACCGTGAAGGATAAAGTTCAGTGTCCTTTCACAAGCATTAAAGTCCAAAAATAATCTATCAGAGTCCTGCCCACCAGCAAAAAAGAGGAAACCACATAAAGTGAGGGAGCTTGTTGGGAAGAACTTTAGAGGCAGCCAAAGGTTAAGGCCTGAAAGGCAAGCCTCTAGCAGGATGTCTGCAAAGATAGCAACACATGTGGAGTATCACAAAGAGGTGAAGGCAGACCAGAAAGAAACCCAGCAGGGCCAAAAAGCAGAGCAAAGGCGTCACTTACAAGCAAGATATCCTTAGAAAATAAAAAAAGGCTGGATGCAGCAAAACAGGCCAAAAACAACAGTCTGTGGAACAAATTCCTGAAGTTATCTAAAGCCATGAGAACCCAGAGAGTCTGCTCACTCTGCAGACAATAAAGGTATAAAAAAGACTCAGAGAAGATAAGACCATAGCAGTGAAACTGAATACACATTTTGCAGCTGAGTTTAGAAGGTCCCAGACTGGAACTTTCTATACGGAAAACATTGAGGGAACTCCCCTCCCCTGGAAAGAGCCAGAGAGTTTTCTGAAGGACTCAGTAAGCACAAGAGTGAATCTCCACCACTCTGATTTCCAAAGGCTTTCAGCAAGGTCCAAAGACTTCTCAAAGTTTATGCAATGGGATAAGGGAGAAGTCCCTTAGGTAATGACTTGGAAACTCAGAAACAAAAGATAGGAATAGCAATACTTGGAGTGAAGAGAGCTTAACTGTGGGACTGTGCAATCCTTAGCATAACAAGACAGTAAAATGGAGGCAAAGAAGATGTTGCTGACTGCAGAGCATTACTTTCCACTGGGATAAGCAAGAAACAAAAACATGTAAAGCAATTGCTGAAAGGAAAATAATGGGCCTGAAACAGCCTTCAAACCACAAGCAGCTATGCACATTTTAGCAAACAGAAAAAGGGGAGGAAATCTCCACCAAATAAAATCCAATTAAAAATGTGACAGACTAAACCTGAAAAATTACTCCTCTGACTTCACCTAGAATAGATTCTGCTACTGGTCTTTAAATTCCACTGCACTTAGCAAGAGAAGGAATGAGAGCTGTAGTCCTAAAATAGCCAAGCCTGGGAGTCAAATGGCAAAAAAAGAATTTCACCCTTTTACACTAAGTTATTAGCTAGCATATGGTCCAGTACAAGAATCTCAGTGCTCGTGCCTTACCTGTCCCAGAAAGGACTTGGCCAGACTAACACAGGGCTGGTTGAAAAAATCTTCTTGCAGCTGAGTAGATTTTTGCTTTTCTATCACAAAATATTTGCTGCTTTTTGGAGAAGGATCTGCTCCAGGTGTAGTGTTCAGCTGCTCCACAGCACAGATCTGAGGGATGCTGGTGGTGGTTTGAAGAGCACTTAATTGAGCCAACAGCTTTCTTTTTCTTGGCATAGTTCTAGAAAATGGATATAAATATAATTAGGATTATAATGCTTATTGAAAAGCAACTAATTTCCACAAACTTCTGTTTTTACACATCTCTCCACAACAATGAATCTGAAAGCTATGACTACATGGACAAACTGTGCAAACTGCAGCAGCAGGTGACAGATTTAGCTGTGTTTGCACCAGGCTGGGCAAATATTGGGCTCTACTCATGAGCAAACAGAAAACAGCAGTTGGAGTATTCATCTTTTAAGAACTGCAGAGAAAAGCAACTCTGCTTCAATTAAGCCATGAAAATACGTTTGCTGTTAGGTTAGAAAATTTGGCAAGTGAAAGCAAAGATGAACTAGTAATATGTACTTTATATCTAAAGCTAACATAATCTTTTAAGCAGACAGAAAACAAGCACTTCAAAAATTGTGAAAAAGCCTGCAGAAGTTGTGTATCAATCATTTTCAAAGGTAATGTAACTGGATCAGAATCTAAACCTCCACAGGAAATTCAGAGATGCCCTATTCAGTCACAAACTTGTTTATTGTGCTGTAGAAGTGTTTGTGTTAGAATCTCCCCAAAATGATCCAACTTACCAGAAAGATTCAGCCCACTGCTCCAGCCAACAGCACGGACCTGAGGCAACTACATCACGTGCAATTGTTCTTCTGGTTTGTCACCACCTTCCTATATGAGATCCAAAAGCTGGTGTTTTGTTTTCAGTGCTGCAGTCCTTATACCTGTTGAACAGGTACAAGCGTTTATTCACTAATAAATGAATGAATGAATGGATACATTGAAACGGGCCAAGAGATTCTGGAGATCAAATGGGGATGTAATACCAAGAGTGCCCCATTAGATCAAAGTCCAGAATAATCTGCAGTTTTCTGTTGGTCCAGAAAAATCCCATTTCCCAAATGGGCAGTTCTGGAGATGCTCTTTAGCCTTTGTTATTGAGTGGGGAATGCACTTTTCCTATACTGAATACACAGAAAGCTGAAACAATACTTTTAAAATGCCCCTATTGGCATTAAATTTGGAGAGTGTCAGCCTCAAAAAAGGACTTTTACTAGAGAATGCAAAGACACCAGTTCTAAATTGAACCACATGTTAAGGGTCCAACTTCATACAGATTTAGAAATGGGGAAAGAATCCTGTAAACAAGTATATACATCATTAATTAGCTGTTGCCAGTCATTTTTCACCAGATCATCAGCATTTAAAAATTACTACAAGAACTTCCAATATCAAAAGCAATCTTTATCTTGGTCTGATGATGCTCACAATGAAGTTCCACCAGCAACAGTTTCTTTTCACTACAGTGAAACAAATTCAGCATTGCTACAATCTGAATCACCAGTGCAAATTCCCCCAGTGTTATGTTTCACTTCAGAAGAATCCAGACACAAACATGTAAAAATAGGCAGGAAAAAATAATCAAATCACATTGGCATGACTGGCAGAGACTTAGGACGGTTTTATTTTTTTCTGAACACCAAATTCTTTATTGCAATAATTCGATGGTGTCAGACGTGCCATAGAACCACCAGCTCCATGTCAGGTACTCTGAACTGTGGCTTTCAGCTGGTGGGAATTCTTAAAAATTTTGTCAGAACTCACCAGGCTGCCTCAGACAAAACTGTCTGGTGTCTTTGGCAAATGAGTCCTGCCTAGGAGAAAGTGCTGCAGGAAGGAAGGGCCAGAGGAAGAACACGTCACCATTTCAGACCGACCCTCTGAAACGCTCAGTCAAGGCAGTACTTCCCACTGAAGACAACACCTCCAGACCTCTCTGACAGAATTAACTGGAACTTCCAGCTCATCAGCCACACATAAAGACACGCTGCAAACATGGCTGCCTCCAGTGCAGCATTAACTCATTTGGTAATTTGTGCTCTAATGGAATGCGACACCAGAAACAGGATCTGAGCTGCCTGGCACCTACTGCACTTCCAATTAAATCATTCCTAAAAGCTGCAAGTGCTCTTATCGACACGTTACAGCAGCAGCCTCAGGGCACTTGTAACTTCACTGCTATGGGCTCATCCTCGACACATCTCAGCATCTTCCATAGAAACAGCAGCTGGAAATTGCCTTCTAGCCAGGAGAAATGGGTCACACACAGAAACATGAGTGCACAGTGAGGTGCTGCAACACCAGCTTGGAAACCCAGAAGATGAAACATTCTACCCTCTGTCTCCCTGCTTGTTCATCTGAAACACAAAGCTCCATGCCTCAAAGCCTATCTACACTTTCTGGAAAGGATGTTGCTTGTCAATACAAATCTCTTCTTGCCCAAGAAAAACCACGCTGTAGAAGGCAACACATACCACAGATCCAAGCCCTGTGTATTTGGGAAGCAAAAGGCTCAACCTCTTCTGTAGGTCTGCATACAAATTCTGCAATTCTTCACTTTTATCTAATTTTTCTTGCTTGTATAATAAGCAAATTCTACTCCTGGGCCTCAAATAATGAGCCGTGGGTTTAATCACTTTCTACTAATCCTGTTGTAACTAAATTAACTACAAGTTGTAAAGCACATCTGGGAAACACATACGAAAAAAAAGGTATGGAAGTTAGAAAATCAAGAGCTGAAATCAGGCAGCACAAGTGCCTGGAGTGTTCAGGGCTGCTGGGCTAATCTCAGGCAAGTGGTTCAGGAGCCTGCAAGCCAGAATTGGAGTGACACTGCAAATCTGTGTAAAACCCTGCTCAGCAGCAGATACACCTTGTAGTCAAGGCACAAAGAGTCCACAGAGGATTCTTTACTCCTAACAAGAACGCATTTGCAGGTATTTTCTTAGGTATTTAATGAGTTTTCATGAAAAGAAGGCCAAAAAAAAAAAATTCCACCAGCAATTTGCATGTACTTTTGGCCCCCAGGTCCATACCTGCAAAACTTTCCTCAGGTACATCAATTTTTCTGACAGAGTAATGAAAAAGAGTACATAAAACACTGCCACTTCTGGAGAGACAATTCCTCACAGCAATTCCCAGTTGTACAGATTTTAAGTGGGAATACATGCTAGGTCAATGCTGGGTCAGACCAAAGGATACCTCTCCCTGTATCCTGCTCTCCAGCCCACGTCAAGAGCAGGAGCCTGGGGAAGAACAGGATAAACATCCAGTGCTCCTCCACACATCCTCCATGTCTCTGGACTGGAACCTTCTGACCCAGGCACAGTCTCCCCTGAATCTCTGTAACACTGGCCAATGAGAGACTTCACTAAGGAAGAAAACGTCACAGAATTATTTAGTATTATTATTGCTCCAAAAACTCACTTATTTTGTGTGGGGCATTTGCATTGCTCCCTACCCATACAAATCAGTTTACACCTGCACTTCACCACCCTCAGCCCTCTTCTTTACCACCTTAAATAAGGCAAAAGCAGCTGTAAGCACTGGTTTTCCATGTCACCTATAAACCATGCCTGCAGCACCCCAACGGTGACCTCCAGCCGCTAGGAGAGCTGCCCATTTACTCACATCCTCTTTCCTATCTTTGCAACAACTCTGTATTTATGACAGGGGAACTCCCTTATTATGTCCAGGGCTGCTCAGGTTAAGGGCTCCTGTTTAACACCTTCCTGAAATCTGAGTACAGACTGTGAGCCAGACCTCAACATGCTGATTTAGACCTGCAGAAAATTCCAGAATTTTTTAAAGGCACGAATTTTAAGCCACATTGATTCTCCCCCCTAGATACTTATGCAGCTCTCCAGTAATGCTATCTTGTTATATTTTCTATTAATTCACTCCTTGGTGGTCAAAATTCCAGGTCTGCAGTCCTTGGATTTCCCCTAGAATCCTCTTTAAACATTAGTGACACATTTGCTGCTGAAACCATCACTAGCAGCACTGTCCTTGGGGGCTGCATCTGGTTTGGTAGTTTATTCCTGCCTGTTTCTGCCAGTTTGGCAACTTATTGCAGCCTGTTATTTCTGTCTTTTTGTTCCATAAGCTCTTAAACAGACATTTTAAGGCAGATCCTTCAGTGAATTCTCAGCATAAATGATGTCTCTCTGCCTTTCCTGTCTAGTCTATCCTATTAGTAACCAGAAGTAAGTCAATAATGTATAGTTTTCTGGACAACAATGTGAGAAGCATTAAAAAAAAAAAAACCTTGAAAAAAGACTGCAGGCATGAGCTAATATAACCATAAATATCGAGCCAATTTCTCCACAGATTCTGACAGAACGTGCAAGCCTAATACCTCAAAAAATATGCCAAAAGGGATACTTTTATTCACCTTACTAAGTGCTGGGGATCTCATTTCCCTGCAATTCAAGTCCTCGCTCCTACTCCCTACCGGGCATCTTGAGCTTTTTTGGGATGAAACTCATCCTTCTGTAAAGAACAAAGAAGGTAACAACGAAAACCAACCAAGCAAGCAAAAAGCCTTTACAGCAAAACTACGCTCCGTTTTGGTTGAGGACACTCGTGATTCGGAGCGGAACCCAGGGCTGCAGCGCGGGGCGTGCCCGGCAGTCACGGGCAAGGCCGGCTGGGCCTCAGGAATCCGAGCTCCCTCCTCCTCCTCCGCCCGCCCTGGCCATTCCCGGTGGCTTTCCGTCATTCCCGGTTATTCCCGGCCTTTCCCGGTCATTCCCGGCCGTTCCCGGGCTCCCCCTCACGCACCTGCCGGGCCCGTTCCCGCCGCGGGCGGGGCGCGCGCAGCCCCTGCCGAGGCCCCGGGAAGCCCCGCAGCCGCCGTGAGGGGCGGGCCGGGGGAGGCGCGGCCGTGAGGGGGAAGAGCCGCTGGCGGAGCGGGGTTCTCCTCGGCCGCCGTTTGCAGATTCTTTTTCGTCAGTTAAAACAGCGTCTGAATTCTCGCTGGTTTTCAATATCCACTCCTCGGGCTTTCATGTTAATCATTCATTCATCAATACATAGGCTGAGAAAATTGGAGCCTGGGTTGGAGAAGGTGCACGGAGACCTTAGAGCCCTTTCCAGTGGCTAAAGGGCTTTCAAGAGAGCTGGAGAGAGACTTTGGATAAGGGCCTGGGGTGACAGGACAAGGGGATTGGCCTCAAATTGACAGAGGGGGTATTAGAAGAAATTCTTCCTTGTGAGGGTGACGAGGCCCTGGCATAGGGTGCCTAGAGAAGCTGTGGCTGCCCCATCCCTGGAAGTGTCCAAGGCCAGGTTGGACAGGACTTGGGATAATGGGAGGTGTCCCTACCCATTTCAGGGGTGGAGCTGAGTGATCTTTAAGGTCCCTTCCAACCCAAATTATTTTGTGATTCTACTCCAAAAAGCCATGAACACTCCGATGAATATGCATGGTCACAAGCTGGCTGTATAGAGAGCTACATTAATTACTCCCTCAGTTCCCCAAATAACAAGTATCTGGCCTGCAGAAAAAAAATTTGGATTCAGCTTTTATCCAGATGGAGCATGTGGTAAAAATGGGGTCAAATGCGATTTTTCCTTCCAGCATTCTGGGGACATGTAGTTTGGGCCGTTGATTCATAAACAAGTGTTTGCACAAAGGGTATGAAGGAAAGTCTGATGAATCCAAGTGGATTTATTCCCATTTATGTAATAAAATACTTATACCAGGATAGCACCAGCTAGGATCCAGTGATGCAGAGAATAGGCATTTACTGTCTACCTCTTTTGTGAGTTTGAATGGGAGAAGGATAAATTACTGGCTATAATTTTAGGAGACATTGACAGCTTTGGAGGTGCAGCCAGGAGTATGAGTAGCTAAAGGTTCTTATGGAGGCAGAAATAGGGACCAGTTAATTTGAGCATGGAGTCATGTTCAAATGTGAGTGGGGCAGATGAAAATCTCTGACATTCCTGTAAATCATGAACGGAGCTCAGAATTTCCAAATGTTACTATTCCAGTTTAATAAAAAGTGCAAAAAAATACCCAAACAAATCATGAATGAAACAAACACAGAGTCTGTTATACAATAGTCATTATATTTGACCATGAAAAAACAGCTGATATACTTTGGAACCCAAAGCAAGTTCAAGAATGCACTGAAAAACCTTTAAATCTTTGTAAAGCATGATAGCACTGCTACTGTGCGTAAAAAAAAAAAAAAAGGGAAGGAAACATGAATAAATCTTAAAGATATTGATACTGGAGATCTGTGTATGATGTTTTAGTTAAAATAGATAAAAATAAGCTCAGAAGAATGAGGAATCCCTGGAGGGATGTTACCTGCTGGCTCCACAGATGTGTTTAGCTCCAGTCTGAAATGAGTTCTTTGTGTATTAGCAAAGACAACAATCATTTTAAAATGATTAACAATGTTGACTGAGTGTCTTTGAAAGAGCATCTTGGACTTCCTGACTTGCACGGTTCACATCCCAGCTTTAATATGGTATTAATATAAAAGAGGAAGACCAAGAAAGTGCGTGAAAAGGAAGATAACCAAACATCAAACTGATCTTTCAGCAAATTATGAAACTTAAAGAGAAGCTGAGCAAGAATGAGAGCTGTGGGAAGGATTTCCTGGGGTCAGACTAGTTCAGCTCTGCAGACTTTTCCCCTGTGGGAGTCTGTGGGACAGGCACTCTCAGGAATGCTGGCTTCTTTGGCAGCAGATCTATTTCATGCCCAAAGGAAGTATTTAAAGCTTTTAGCACCTGAGGAATGCAAATTGCTCCAAGCGACAGCATATGCCATGTTCTTCATTTGTCCAATAACTTCACTGTTACAGAATCAACACCTAAAATAGCCTCCTGTAAAAGCAGATCTGTTTGAGAAGATTGAAGTTCCCCTCCCTGTGGGGCAGAAACTCTTTAATGTGAGAGGAATGACTTGGAATCTGTGGTTAGAAAATCTGGCTGGTGGGGACCCTGGGGTCTGTGGCACAATGGCTGCATACAGCACACCAGGCTTTTCTTGGAGCAAAAACTGTTTGCAGAGTGGTTCCCTACAGCTCCCAGGCTGTGCAGAGCCCTGACTTATCATCCTTTTACAGCCAAGACAGCAGAGCAGCGTGGAAGCAGGACAAAGCAGTAGGGGCAGATTTTCAAGTTTTCTCTTTGTAAGGTGCCAAATGAAGCTTCAGCAGTGTTTGCTGAAAGCCTCCTCTGTCCCGTTAGGAAGAGACCCGGAATTCCCCACCGGCCATGGCCTGGCCACTTCACGTGGCCATGCTGCTCTTGCCAGCAGTGCAGGACAGCTGCAACGCTCCATGAGCCAACTCTTGAAGAATTCCCGTGGATGAAAGCACTCCAAACAGCACAGGGTTTTTATGACATCCCCTCCTGGCCTCTCCTGACATCCAGTCTTGGCTGCCACTTCCTACTTGTCCGCAACTGCCAGTGTGTCTTATCCAGAGCTATTTCCAGCCAGTGTCTGAGGTACATACAGCGCTCCAATTAGTACCAGAACAAACCCACTGCTAGAAGGGAGAGGTGCTCATAGCTACTTTGGTATCTCCCACACCCAAGCTGAGCCACAGATCAAATGTCCAGTTCTGTAAACCAAGCCCATTCATTTTGTTATGTAAGCATATGTGTGTGTGTATTGTCCTAAATTTGGGGATATCCATGGTAGGTACTGGTCCGCCTGCTTTGCACTCAGGGTGCAAGGAATACTTCCAAGTGCACTGCAAGCAATGGGAAAACCCAGTAGAGCAACACAGCTTCTGGGAGCCTCAGATCTGGACCAGAGAGGGCAGGCAAGTCCTATTTAGTAACCTATTAATGGATTTGACTGAGTCTTATTTGTTTGTTTGTTTTGTCGGAAAGACATTTTTGTTCTCTAACAAGACAGAAATGGTTGACTTCACAGGATTGCTCAATGCAGAGAGACAAATAGATTAGATATTAGGAAGAAATTCTTCCCTCTAAGGGTGGTAGGCCCTGGCACAGGGTGCCAAGAGAAGCTGTGGCTGCCCTGTCCCTGGAAATATCCAAGCTCAGGCTGGACAGGGCTTGGGGCACCCTGGGATAGTGAAAGGTGTCCCTGCCCATGTCAGGGGGTGGAATGGGATGGGCTGTAAGGTTCCTTCCAACCCAAACCTTTAAAAAAAAAAAGAAAAAAAGCTAAAACCCAAGTGAGCAGGGCAAGCTTCTGGGCTGCTGGGCTCTGCTCCCAACATCTGTAGGAGTGACAGCTTACATAGTATCCCTGGTGAAACTGATTTTGTTGGTACCATAGGACAGCCATGTCTGGGAGCCTCTCCCAACTGCACAGGAGCAATGGGAAGCTGGGGGGTGAGACCAAAGGCTCAGCTGAACTAGCAGGAGGTGAGGAACGATGAGATGGAGCTACACCAACAATCAGCCAAGCTTTTTTAAACATGGTAGTTTCCTGTTCTGAAGGGGTTAAAGACGGTTCATTCAGTATTGTCTAGCTCGAGATGCAAGCATGCTTCTGAATCAGTCAGAACAGAGAAAGGGTTTACATGAGAGTACTGGAGGGATGTGTGGAGAAATATATATATGTCTGTCCAGTCAGAGCATTGCAAGCCTGAGAGCTGTTAGCCATCTCCAGATCTGCCCCTCTGCTGACAGTGCTCAGAATGTGCTGGATGCAGGGAAAAACCCAATTAAAGAAATTCCTCTGGCTCCTTGCCCCCAACCACTCATTCTTGTCTCTCTTCAGAACAGTTTCCTCTTCACTGTACCAGTACAGTAACATGCAGAGCTATGCTTAAACCAGCTCCCTGAACTGGAGGAGGTTCTCATCCCTTTCCTGTGCTGCCACTGTCGTGTCTGTGCCCTGTGGAGTGAGCAACACCTCACCTTTGACATGGATGGCCTGGAGCAGTAAGAACAGAAACAGGCATAAATGGGCTGCAAAGCTGAGGTCAGGGTAGTACACTGGTGCATTTTTCTGCATCCTGTGCAATGTCAGCATGCCAGAAGATAGCAGCAGTTCAGATAAGCTCTACCAGTGTCTCATAACAGATGAAAAATTGTTCAAATTGGGATACAGTTGGGCTGATGATGATCATTTGTTTTTACAGGAGTAATCCTGTACCTTTTGCAAAACAGAAATGCTGCTGAGAGGGAACTTTCAAAAGTGATGCTTGTGTGTATGAGTGTACTGGGATAAAAAATGGTCACATACTTACTGGCTCCCTTGGGATAAAACATCAGAGCATTTTCCAAAGGAGACCAGAAGTTAAGTAGTGAGTGGGACTTGCTCACTCTCTGTCTTAGAGGTTCATTCCAAAACTTGGCATGGAGAGTGAGCAAAGACTAAAAAGGAAAGAAAGTGGCCTAGAATGTGCCAGGGTCAAACAAAAAGGGACAATTCACACATAGACTGAGGAGCTTATTTCCACAGGACACTGTGAGTACTAAAATGTTTGGGTTCAAGGACCTATTAAAAAAATACCAGTAAGAAAACTCTGTCCGGGCTATTACACACAGACATAGCATCTCTGCTTCAGGAAGTCCCTGAGCCACAAACCACTTGGTCTGGTGGAGTATTTAGGAGAAATATTACTCCATGCTTGACCTGTTTTCATACTGTCTGTAAGCTTTGACAGTTGGCTGCTGGAGGGAGTGGATATCTTCTGCTCTGTGGATCTGTTATCTGACTCATCCACCTTTTAGAGACGTTTTGCAGGAGTCACAATTGGTTTGCTCATGCTGATTAACTGATATCTTCTAGTGAATCTGAATTCATCCAGGAAATACTCAGAAGGTGAAAGAGAATGCTCAAAGAGCAAAAATGCCCCAAATTCTTC